CGGTTTTGTTAATTATTTCTTAGTGGGTGCGTCATTCCTTCTTTGTTAACCGTAATAACCACAATTGGAGGAAGTCCGTACTACTAGGGTATTTGAAAGGTTAGTCAGCGTCTTTGTTGTGTGTGTGTGTTAGTCAGGTGACAGGTCAGAGTTATGCTCACTGGGATCAAAGAGAGAGGGGGTATTTTCATTCAGACTACTAACTGTAGTCATGGAGATCTGAAATAATAGCTGCCTGATCTGGCTTTCTCAGCCAGAGCCTAATTTCATTAGACAGTTTACTTGTGGATTACAATGATGGTGTATGTTTGTTTGGCGGTGTGTGTGAGATCAGGGAACTGGCTTTCGTTCCGATTCTCTCCCCATCTCCATGACGTGCACTTGTTCACTCTCCCTCATGTATTTAAAGGTCACAGGTGTAAGATATATGGTGGAAACACCCTCGAGCCCATAGTATTTAGCCTACAAACAACTGTAAAAACAATATTTTTTCTTCTGAAAATATGTTTCACAGTGATTTAGTTTTCTCACAGAAACTGAAATTGAGCGAACAGTGTAGAATTTTAGAAACCAGGAAATTGCAGAGCGATTTCCACTAGATAACACAGCCACAAAGTAAGAACAGCTTTCCCATTTTGAAAACAGATGCCACTCCGGAGGGAGAAATCAATAGGCGAATATCACAGCCAATCACAACACTTTTGTGTAAGTAATACTGTGAAACACTATCATTCCACTATTACTGCAGATATATTATGGACATTTTCTGAAATTACAATGCAAAAATTCAAAGAAATCCGATGTGTAGCACCTTTAAACAATAATACATGAAAGGCCATGTGTTATGACATTTTTATCATGGCTGTGACTTGGTCATAGACATGAGGCGAAGCCAAGTGGCGTAGACCACCACAGCCATGATAAAAATATCATAACACATGGACTCGTGTGTATTATTGCTTTTATACAACGGGTTACCAGCATTTAAAAGCAAGATTCTTTCCCAAACCCTCCATATATTTTGGTACAAATCGTGATGCTACCTTCAACCACTGGTTGTCAAGTGCAATTTTAGATGTTCTATGGTCGTTAGATCTATTTGTATTGACTGCCATGTAAAGCAAAACTACCCATGCGCTGGTTGATCGTTCCAGAACTTTGCAGGTTGCTATAACAAACAAGAATGGTTGCTATGGAGGCTCTTCCCCCTTTGCTAGCTAGCCAACTACACAGCTAACACAATCACGCCAGACTGAAGCTGGAAAGACAGCAAACTAGCTGCATTTCATTTTACCTGTTTTTTTCTATTGACATTTCTTTGTATATATTGTAAAAATGATGCTGATTCATGATTTCGACTGGCTGAGAAAAACTGCCTGCCTGTCTGTCTCGTCCTGACACGTTCATTATTATGGGACACAAAGAATATTGAATGTCAATATTGCAACAATGTTGCACATGTCAGAGTGTGGCGCAATGGTCTAAGGCACTGCATCGCAGTGCTAGCTGTGCCACTAGAGATCCTGGTTCGAATCCAGGCTCTGTCGTAGCCGGCCGCGACCGGGAGACCCATGGGGCGGCGCACAATTGGCCCAGGGTAGGGGAGGGAATGGCCGGCAGGGATGTAGCTCAGTTGGTAGAGCATGGTGTTTGCAACGCCAGGGTTGTGGGTTCGATTCCCACGGGGTCCAGTATGAAAAATAAAAAAATAATGTATTCACTCACTAACTGTAAGTCACTCTGGATAAGAGCGTCTGCTAAAATGTAAATGTATAATGTCTAGATGCTTTTTACAGTGGAGATCAAGTTTATCAATTGCATGGCTGGGCAGATGAGACAGTGGATCTGTAAAAGTAGTAGTGTGTTGCTAGGTAACGATGTAAGTAATGGCACTTTTTATGAATGTGGCCATGTGTATGTTGTCTAGTGTATCATGGGCAGGATAGACTAACAATGGGAATTCCAAACCACCCGTTGTTTGAAATGCTTTTAAATCCCTAATAAGGAGTGAATGAGTGCACATTTAAGAGAAGGGAAGTGAATCGGACCAGAGCACAGGTCAAAACGCCCCTGTGCAATGGATGATCAGTCCTGAAGACATCTGCAGAAGTCATAGCCTGAAATGGCACCCTATTCCCTATTTAGTGCACTACCTCAATGACTATGGCTGTCAGTAATTCACTATATATCGGGAATATGGTGCCATGCCATTTCAGACATAGCCATACTACACATTACTTCCAATGACAACTGCTTTGGGGACATTTTGATTTATGTACAGTAATGTCTTTAATCTTGCAATGTGATGGAGGGTCTGACAACAAGCATATGTGTGTACCCTCGGTCTCCGTGGGCAGAAAGGTTTATCGTTTAATACACATTAATTCCAATTGATTAAAGTGGTATTCCTCTAGGCCTAGACAGTGTGGGGTCTGGTCCACCAGTCACCACAGGACAATAGACTCACCTTCAAGCCATCGGTCCCATGAGAACCACAGTATAGAGAGAACCCCTGTGGTGAATGTTTACCATTAGTAAGACTGTGCCAGAGGTTGGTCTAGTGGTCAACACAACTGCCTATGGACTGCATATGCCCCCCAGCAGTGGTAGTTCAAATCCCCGCTGGGCCAGTTTCTAAGTGTGCATATATGTACTGTAGGTCTGATATGCATGTCTAGAATGACTTTTTTCTATTCCAGGAGCCTCACATGGTGACTTCTAATGTCCTGGAATTAACCGGAAGCTGAACCATGGTCATTCTGCAACAGGTACAGAGTAGAATACCTTATTTCTCACTCGTTCTCCCTCTCAAACATACACACTCACACTCACACACACACACACACACACACACACACACACACCCACCCTGTGGACAACCTTTTTAGGTGAGACTCAATTCACATGCTAAAAGAATAGGGGCTATGGTGTGTTATCAGCTGGCCCACCAGAGGCCACAGTGATATCTATTGTGACACATTAAAATGCCAGACATAGCATGAGATAACAGGCACCCTCAGTCTCCCATCATTAGTCAGACAGGCTTTGTGGGACTTTAAACATCACTTTATCCAGGTTTTTAAAGGGATAGTTAATCGATTAAATTTTTTGTTTGGTGTGGCTAGTTTGACAAAAATAGAGTGTGGATTGCAGTCACGTCTCGTCCATAGACGGCTTTCAAGATAAGGAAACAAATATTAAAATATGTCAAATCTCTGAACTATCTCTTTAAGGAGTCGGCTACCTCAATGTCAAGAGCCTAGCCATGAATCATGCATCTCATGCCCTCAGCAAGACATTTGGGTTGTCTAGACGGAGGGATAGTGACATGGACGTTTCACCTCAGTTTGGTTTTGCAATGCAATATCTGATGTTTTTTAGTGCTAACAACATATTTTTCTAGCAAAGCTGGTAACCGGGTTTTGGGGAGTCAAAATCATTCTTATAGCAATGCACATTTGGTTTAATTTACTCAATGAAACTCAATGAAAAGAAACTCTACTCAATAAGAACATAAACATGTGTTGGTGTAGAGCAAAACTAATATTTTTGACTTATTCTGGAAAATGTATGGTGCTTTCTTTGATTGATTCGGTACTAAATGTGTTGTTGTTGTCCGGTTCATTGGGTCAACATGTGGTTTGGTGGTTTGTGAGAGATGGAATGACAGTGCGGTCAGTGTGTGTCCAGCGTGTTAAAACAAAACAACAGTAAACATGTCATCCCCCACGAATGCCCCCTTGGCCCAATTGAGATATCGCATGTGACTAACACATTTCAGTTCATTACTATAGCTCCCGCCTTGGGACAATCAGGGTAATTTTGTAATTGACGGATCTCTATGGCAAGACACATCATTCACCCAAGTTTAGTTCAAATCAGGCCAGTGCTGTCTGAGGTACAGAGACAGATCCACAGTCCCCCCCTCGATTCCATCGTGGGGGACAATAAAAACAACATGGCAGCTTAACACTAAGATATGACCAAGCCCATTCTCTGATTGGGGCTGATTTCCTAATCTCACCTTGATTGACAGCAGGGATTTACAGTAGGCTGCTCCCCCTAGCCCTCTTATAAGATTTTGTTTATCTGTTTACTTTGCCTCCCAAACATTGGAGTAATCACTGATTTGGCATGGGAGGTTTGTAAAGTGGCATAGGCCTTGCTTTCACCAATCATAATTTAGAGTGATAACAAGTGATGTAGCTCAATTGGTAGAGTATGGCGCTTGTAATGCCAGGGTAGTGGGTTTGATCCCCGGTACCACCCATACCTAAAAATGTATGCACGCATGACTGTAAGTCGCTTTGGATAAAAGTGTCTGCTAAATGGCATATTATATTATAACAAGGAGGGAAGGATGCATTTTCAAAATATTCAAACCTTCTCGAAACAGCTTCACCTCCTCCTAGCAACAAGTGATAAGTTACATCATTTCCTATAAAGTCCGCAGTTGGACGAGGCTAAGCCTACATCAACCTAATTTCCCTTATTGGACGGACTGGCAGACTTCAAATTAGCCAACCTTCTTTATTATTTTATTTTATTTGGATTGATCTTCTAATCTTTACAGATTTGGTTATTTTAGGAAGTGCACAGAAAATAACTTTGATGTAGGAAAAATAATATTGTGTCAGGAGGGATTATGAGGTGCATTAAGTGTGATATTGCTCCACTAATTAACGTGACCTTAGAACAGACTTTTGAGTCTGTTGGCAGAGTGAGATGTTACTAGTAGATTTTATTATATTACTATTGTGTCGCATTGTAATGTAATCACATTCTCATAAAGTCTGTACTTCAGAAAATTTGAACAAAGGTGGTTTGAAATTGACGACAGGTCCATATTCTTGCAAATTTAAAATGCATTTCAAACCACCTTTGGCGTAATGTGCGGCAAAAAAACAACACAAAAATCACATCCTGGACCAGAGCTAGGCCCACCCCTAATGGACAATATATTGAAATCATGTTTGTAACATATTGGAATGGCAAATGTAATGTATTCAACACTGGTTGTGTTTGTGGTTGCGTTCCAGGGGGACTATGTCTGGTTGGACCTTAAGACGGGCCGGGAGTTCGACGTCCCGGTGGGAGCCTTGGTCAAGCTCTGTGACTCGGGACAGATCCAGGTGCTGGACGACGATGGGAGGGTAAGTCCACACAAAATGAGACATTGACAAGACATTGACAAGACATTACAAGACGGTGACAATACTTTGACAAAACATTGACGCAACGTTGACGAAACAAGACTTTGGCCCTGTTCGAATACTCCTGAAATGCATCTCCCATTCCTCCTTTCCTTTAAGTAATCATTATTACATGACATAATTGAAAGTAATGCCATGGAAAGCTTGCTTACACCAAGAGATGTTATATCATTGATTACTTCAAGGAAGGAAGGATTCAAACAGGGCCTTTACTTAATCTAACAAACCGACATGGACACACAGCAGCCTATGACACCATAGTTCCTCAATGGCTGTGACTGTAACTGTTCCCCCATCAGGAGCACTGGATCTTGCCCCAGAATGCCACCAACATTAAGCCCATGCATCCCACCTCCATTCACGGGGTGGAGGACATGATCCGTCTGGGGGACCTCAACGAGGCCGGGATCCTGCGCAACCTGCTCATCCGCTACAACGAGCGTGTCATCTATGTGAGTCACCCCTGCAACACTGTCTGCTCGCCTTTGGTACCACTACAGGACCATCATTTTATATTGTATGAGTCCTTCAAATAACAAGGAAGTGTGGTTTAGAACGTATTCTATAAAACCTAGTGACCTTGTTTAGTGATGTGTAGCTCATGTTGTTGATGTATGATGGACTGTTATAGGATTTGTCTGTGTGGTTATTTGACTTACTTTCTTATATGGTTATGCTGGCATATTGGTTATGTTTTTCCCCTGGCCACAACCCCCCCACTGGTTCCTTATCTTACCTGCCTGGCTAAGTCTCAATAGTTTGAAACAGTTTCCTCTCCACATGTCCTTTCCTCCAGTATCACTGTTCTGGCAGGACACATGATGGAAACATGTCCAGTCCATTGTGACATATGTGGTACTGGGGGTTAAGGAAGCTGTTATAGAGTATTGAGAGCCAGCCCCTGTGTGTGTGTCCCAGTTGGTCCCTCATCAACTTGTGGCAGTTTATTTTTTATGGTTCTTTCCTCTCACTCTTCCTCTTCATCTCCCTCCCTATTTCTCTGTATAGACAAATTGTGGAGGAAGGGTGAGTACAAACTACAGAAGCAAGCAAAAAAATAAATAATCTGTGAACAAGCAACATGCTAACAAGCTAGCCCATGCTAGCCCATGACATTAATGCTAGCACTTCTGCTACTTTCCTTTTCTTCGCGGTCACTGAATGAATGGCTATAATCTCTGCTAGGCTGAAGGCTGGCCTCTGCTTCAGGCTTAACCTTAGATCCAGCTTGTTAAGTGTGCTTTCACCACCGAAGCGTAAATGTTCAACACACATGAGCCTTTAGGGCCTTTAGAACACACCACAGCTTTGGCCTGGGCTTGGAGGTGCAACAAATCATGGGCTATTATGACTGATTATTATGTCTAGATTATGCACAATAAGGTGATTTTCAGCCTAAATTCAGTTCATGAACTTGAACTTCCAATCATTTTGTAGCTCTAATTTAAATGATCAGTTTTCATCAGGCTTACAACACATAATCTCAGTGATCACAAGCCTAGTGACTACCCTAATCACAGTGAAAGAAAGCGACAAATCTTGGTATCGCTGTTGATAAATCAAGCTATCACTAAATCCTCACAGATGACATTGTTGCCCTGATCTTGGCATGACCCTTGACCATTTAATCTTTTGACTTTGACCTCTGCCTGCAGACTTACACGGGGTCAATTCTGGTGGCAGTAAACCCTTACCAGCTGCTGCCCATCTACACGCCAGACCAGATCCGCCTGTACACCAATAAGAAGATCGGGGAGATGCCACCTCACATCTTTGCCATCGCAGACAACTGCTACTTCAACATGCAGAGGAACAACAAGGACCAGTGCTGCATCATCAGGTTAGTGTATTGTATTGGTGTGTGTGTGTGTGCATTGTGTTTCTCTATTTAAATGTACATGTGTTTGAGTTTCTGTGTGTGTGCGTGTGCGTGTGTGCGCCTGCATGGGTGTCCGCCTGTCTGTCTGCTTGTCTGCATCTGTACAGAAAAATATTGTATCTCCTCCTGTGTTCCTCAGTGGTGAGTCTGGGGCCGGTAAGACAGAGAGCACCAAGTTGATCCTGCAGTTCCTGGCAGCCATCAGTGGACAACACTCCTGGATAGAGCAACAGGTCCTGGAGGCCAACCCCATACTGGAAGGTCAGACTCAACATAGAGATGAGACACTAGAATGGGCTATTAATGGCAGCCATCTTGGTCAAATTCCAAACCAGTCTAATTGAGAGAAGAAAAAAAACAGTCCAAGATTGCTATCTTGTAGTTATGTTTCCTGGATGCCAATGTCCATTCTAGTGTTCTATTGAATTCTATGAGACTAACTACATCCACTCAACACTGATATTTCATAGCTAGGGTGCTTGCTGTCTGTCTCTGCCAAATGTGGTGTTGTGTAGAATGTAGAGAGACACTCACTCCAAGCTGCCTCAGGTGCAGTTTTGGGGTTTGTTTATGATTTTTAACGAGGCTAGAATCACAGAAGCTGTGTAGGTGTCACATCTGCTCCTGCAACGCCCTCTACTGCTCATTCTGTGTCTCCTTGACCTGCCGCCTCTCTCCCTCTCCCTCTCTCTCTCTCTCTGTGTGTGTTTGTGTGATTGTGTGGGCGGAGGCAGGTGTGCTGGAGTCAGAGTAGATCCCCACCAGCTGCAACCTGTTCCATAATCAAGACCTCTACAAATACTCAGTCCTGCCACTTCCACACTGCTAGATTGTAACCCCTGTCAGACAGTCTACGGTTCTAGCCATGTGTTACTATTCAGATCCTGTTATCCTGTTGTGCCTGTTTTCCTTGCCTGATGCTGTTTTCCTCTCCGCTACAGTTCTGCCCGCTCTGACTCTGGTCTCTGTCTCCAGTCCCACGTCTCGTCATCCTGCTACTCTGTCCTGGATCCCCCACTCTACTACTCCCTTGGATTCCCCTCCGGACCTGCTTACCCTGTCTCAACCCCCCTCGCTCCAGCCTCAGCCTCCGCACTGGTTTCCAGCAGTTTCCCCTGACCTGCACTCCATCTTCCCCACTGTTTCAATAAATACCTTGGTTACGTCATCCCATCTCCTCGTCTGAGTCTGCTCTTGGGTTCTCCAGTTCCACTCCACTTAACAGTAGGAAAAGCTGAACTTGGAATGCATTCTTCAAAGAGTCCTTGAAAGACAGCTAGACAGATGTATGACTTGCGCGCTTTCCCCTGGAACTAGTACAGGGGTGAAGTAAACAGCTTCCAGACCATGAATCAAATCAAATCAAATCAAATGTATTGGCCACATGCGCTGAATACAACAGGTGCAGACATTACAGTGAAATGCTTACTTACAGCCCTTAACTAACAGTGCATTTATTTTTAACAAAAAAAATGTTGAGAAAAAAAGAGCAGAAGTAAAATATAATAACAGTAGGGAGGCTATATATACAGGGGGGTACCGGTGCAGAGTCAATGTGCGGGGGCACCGGCTAGTTGAGGTAGTTGAAGTAATATGTACATGTGGGTAGAGTTAAAGTGACTATGCATAAATAATTAACAGAGTAGCAGCAGCGTAAAAGGATGGGGTGGGGGGGCAGTGCAAATAGTCCGGGTAGCCATGATTAGCTGTTCAGGAGTCTTATGGCTTGGGGGTAGAAGCTGTTGAGAAGTCTTTTGGACCTAGACTTGGCACTCCGGTACCGCTTGCCGTGCGGTAGCAGAGAGAACAGTCTATGACTAGGGTGGCTGGAGTCTTTGACAATTTTGAGGGCTTCCTCTGAGTAGTGATCCGACAGTTTGGTGTACAGCTTAAGCCACGCAGGGCATCAATTCACCTTTCTATGACACCTGGTGTGACCCAGAATTAACACGACAACTGGGCCTCTTATCCATGTCTAATGCCTCATTTGCACCTTCTAAAGTTTCCATCTGTGTACTCTACATGTGGACTGGCAAAGGATGCAAAGCCCTATAGTATACATCCTGTCTATCTCTCTCTTAGCTAATGTGACTGACCAGGGTTCCAAACCCGGGTATACTGCATGCCACAATACTGTTAGCCCTGTGAGCTTAAGCCCTAGGCATTCGCTCGGGGTGCCAACACAAGTCTTCAGATCTCAGGCAAGGTTATTTATCACGCGAGAATGGTTCACTGAACTGCATCTATTACGCTAACTCAGAGCTTTATTCTTTAATCTATGCAGCGTTCGGGAATGCTAAGACTATTCGGAATGACAACTCTAGTCGCTTTGGGAAGTACATCGACATCCACTTTAACAAGAGCGGGGCCATCGAGGGGGCCAAGATAGAACAGTACCTTCTGGAGAAGTCCCGAGTCTGCAGACAGGTAAGGGTCCAGGGGGGAGGGGATATACAGGGGCCAGAATAGAACAGTACATAATGGAGACGTCTCAAGTTCGCAGACAGATTCCCATTTGGGCAGTTTCATTAAATGTTGTACCAAATGAACATGATCCTGCTGTTACTCTCCCCCCAGGCTGCAGATGAGAGGAACTACCACATATTCTACTGTATGCTGCGGGGCATGGCCCCAGAGCTGAAGAACAAGCTTGGCCTGGGCCTCGCCACTGACTACTCCTACCTCACCATTGTGAGTAGTGTGTGTGTGTGTGCGTGCATGCGTGTGCTATGAACGTGCGTGATTGTGTGTGTGCGTGAGCACTTGCATCTTTGTGTGTGTGTGTGTGTGTGTGTGAAATCAAATTTTAATTGTCACATGCTTTGTAAACAACAGGTGTAGACTAACAATGAAATGCTTACTTACGGGCCATTCCCAACAATGCAGACTACAATAAAATGGTATATAATAATAGAAAACAAATTGTAACATGAGTAATAAATACACAATGAGCAATGATAGCTTGGCTATATACATGGGGTACCAGTACCAGGTCGATGTGCAGGGGTACCTGGAAATTGAGGTAGGTATGTACATATAGGTAGGCGTAAAGCGACTAGGCAACAGGATAGATAATCAACAGTAGCAGCAGCAAATGTGTGCCTGTGTGTATGTGTTGGAGTGTCAGTGTAAGTATGTGTGAGTGTGTGGGTAGAGTCCATTGTGTGCATAGAGCAAAAAAGGTCAATGTAGATAGTCCGGTTAACTATTTAGCAGTCTAATGGCTTGAGGGTAGAAGCTATTCAGGAGCCTTTTGGTCCCAGAATTAGCCCTCAGGTACCGTTTGCCGTGCAGTAGCAGAGAGAACAATCTATGACTTGGGTGGCTGGAGTCTTTGACAATTTTTAGGGCCTTCCTCTGACACCGCCTGGTATAGAGGTCCTGTGTGCACTCCCAGGGTATATTTGTATACACTGTGTGTGTGCGCAAGTGTGCGTGCACCTAGAGCTGTGGTGGTCATGGCATTTTGTCAGCCGGTTATTGTCATGCAAAAGATTGCTGGTCTCACGGTAATTTACTGTTAATTAACATAATCATGTTTAGCATCTCCAGGCCTCCACGCGTACAAGCCGCATGCAAGCTGCTGATGCAAGCCTTTGGAACATCTACATTTAAACAAGTCTGATAAATCAATTTAATATACACCATCACAATCAATCCATTATTTATTTTAGGCAGGTCTAAAGGAACATTATGATATGAAGAAAATGTATTTCAGAAGAACAATATGAGTTGGCCTACTGTATGTTATCTGGCTATGCGTCATGCCATAGGCTGTAGACTTGTTCATTTAGCAGACAAGATATGCTTGCTTATAAGTACTGTGTAATTATTTTATATTATATGATTTTATTGTAAGAAGAATATAATTGAACTTAACTGAATAAAATAGAAAGGATATTTTTCTCATTCTGGAGCGAGTGCGCATATGAAGCGGCTATGTTGAGCATAGAAGTGATCATTTGAAACAGGTCCTATATGCTAAATCTAGAGTTATTTGGCAACTTTAGTTGTGAATGATACAAACCTTCAGAATGTCTTAGAAATCAAAACATACACTACCGTTCAAAAGTTTGGGGTCACTTAGAAATGTCCTTGTTTTAGAAAGAAAAGCAATTTTTTTGTCCATAAAAATAACATCAAATTGATCAGAAATACAGTGTAGACATTGTTAATGTTGTAAATGGCTATTGTAGCTGGAAACGGCTGATTTTTAATGGAATATCTACTTAGGCGTACAGAGGCCCATTATCAGCAACCATCAGTCCTGTGTTCCAATGGCACGTTGTGTTTGCTACTCCAAGTTGATCATTTTATAAGGCTAATTGATCATTAGAAAACCCTTTTGCAATTATGTTAGCACAGCTGAAAACTGTTGTGCTGATTAAAGAAGCAATAAAACTGGCCTTCTTGAGACTAGTTGAGTATCTGGAGCATCAGCAATTGTGGGTTCGATTACAGGCTCAAAATGGCCAGAAACAAATAACTTTCTTCTGAAACTCGTCAGTCTATTCTTGTTCTGAGAAATGAAGGATATTCTATGTGAGAAATTGACAAGAAAATGAAGATCTCGTACAACGCTGTGTACTACTCCCTTCACAGAACAGTGCAAACTGGCATCTTAAATCAGTTTTAAAAATGTCTGCAATGCGTAGAATGTGGTAGGCTATGTATTGTATAATAACTACACAATCATTATTTTAATTCTGGGTTTTTTTTCAGCCTTGGGCTCATTCATTATATAGGCCTATGCATAAGCTCTAATATGCGTATGGGGGTTTTGAATTTCATTGTGTTAGGCTTTGAAACAACATCCACAACGACCATGATTTCCACTCAGTTTCAACCTGCTGTTGAACTTCTTTCTTCAAATTGATCATCACAGTGAGGTGAGTTTTAAAAGTACAATACTGTTTTGATGATAATTTTTGATGTGATTTTTGATTGCATTTGCAATGATGTCAAAGTGGTTAGAGGGACTATAGAGCCCTGAATACCAGGCCTTTAGCGACCTGATGGTCGTTAGCGAGTTGGGTACTGCCAAGCATGTCCAGAGTGCATAAGAGGAGATTACGTGACTCAACGGTCATGTGGAATTTTACTGCGGTCATGATGCATGACTGCTGGTGTGGCGGTTAAATGGTCACCGCAACAGTCCCTACGTGCATCCTTCCGTCCTTGTGCGTGTGTATAGCTCCCAGCGTATACTGTATGTAAACCTATGCATATGTGTGTGTCCCTCTCCAGGGGAACTGTACAAAGTGTAACAGCCGTGACGACCTGAAGGAGTACTCCAGCATCCTGTTGGCCATGAAGGTGCTGATGTTCACAGAGATAGAGAACTGGGAGATCTCCAAACTACTGGCGGCCATCCTACACATGGGCAACTTGCGCTACGAGGGTGAGCAGAGGTGGCCATTTTGGAAAGAGAGTGTTGACACACAATACAATGACTTTCAACTTGGCACAGGAGCTAGGCAAAGAAGATCAACTGTAGGGGAAAAAGGCTATGTTCATGCACTGTGCTCCCACAAGCATTACATTTACATTTACATCATTTAGCAGACGCTCTTATCCAGAGCGACTTACAAATTGGTGCATTCAACTTATGATAGCAAGTGGGACAACCACTTTTATTTTTTTTATGGGGGGTGGGGGAAGAAGGATTACTTTTATACTATTCCAGGTATTCCTTAAAGAGGTAGGGTTTCAAGTGTCTCCGGAAGGTGGTCAGTGACTCCGCTGTCCTGCCATCGTGGGGGAGCTTATTCTACCATTGGGGTGCCAGAGAAGCGAATAGCTTTGACTGGGCTGAGCAGGAACTGTGCTTCCGTAGATGTAGGGGATCTAGCAGGCCAGAGGTGGATGAACGTAGTGCCCTCGTTTGGGTGTAGGGTCTGATCAGAGCCTGAAGGTAAGGAGGTGCCGTTCCCCTCACAGCTCCGTAGGCAAGCACCATGGTCTTGTAGTAGATGCGAGCCTCAACTGGAAGCCAGTGGAGTGTGCTGAGGAGCGGGGTGACATGAGAGAACTTGGGAAGGTTGAACACCAGACGGGCTGCAGCGTTCTGGATAAATTGAAGGGGTTTAATGGCACAGGCAGGGAGCCCAGCCAACAGCGAGTTGCAGTAATCCAGACAGGAGATGACAAGTGCCTGGATTAGGACCTGTGCCGCTTTCTGTGAAAGGTAGGGTCGTACTCTGCGAATGTTGTAGAGCATGAACCTGCAGGATCGGGTCACCGCTTTGATGTTAGCGGAGAACGACAGGGTGTTGTCCAGGGTCACGCCAAGGTTCTTTGCACTCTGGGAGGAGGACACAATGGAGTTGTCAACCGTGATGGCGAGATCATGGAGCGGGCAGTCCTTCCCCGGGAGGAAGAGCAGCTCTGTCTTGCCGAGGTTCAGCTTGAGGTGGTGATCCGACATCCACACTGATATGTCTGCCAGACATGCAGATATGCGATTCGCCACCTGGTTATCACACAAAATTACTTGTGTGTCGTCTGCGTAGCAATGATAGGAGAGACCATGTGAGGATATGACAGAGCCAAGTGAATTGGTTTATAGAGAGAATAGGAGAGGGCCTAGAACTGAGCCTTGGGGGACACCAGTGGTGAGAGCACGTGGTGCGGAGACAGATTCTCGCCACGCCACCTGGTAGGAGCGACCTGTCAGGTAGGACGCAATCCAAGAGTGAGCCGCGCCGGAAATGCCCAACTCGGAGAGGGTGGAGAGGAGGATCTGATGGTTCACAGTATCAAAGGCAGCGGATAGGTCTAGAAGGATAAGAGCAGAGGAGAGAGAGTTAGCTTTAGCAGTGCGGAGAGCCTCCGTGACACAGAGAAGAGCAGTCTCAGTTGAATGACCAGTCTTGAAACCTGACTGGTTTGGATCAAGAAGGTAATTCTGAGAGAGATGGCAGGAGAGTTGGCTAGAGACGGCACGCTCAAGAGTTTTGGAGAGAAAAGAAAGAAGGGATACTGGTCTGTAGTTGTTGACATCGGAGGGATCGAGTGTAGGTTTTTTGAGGAGGGGTGCAACTCTCGCTTTCTTGAAGACGGAAGGGACATGGCCAGCGGTCAAGAATGAGTTGATGAGCGAGGTGAGGTAAGGGAGAAGGTCTCCGGAAATGGTCTGGAGAATAGAGGAGGGGATAGGGTCAAGCGGGCAGGTTGTTGGGCGGCCGGCCGTCACAAGTCGCAAGATTTCATCTGGAGAGAGAGGGGAGAAAGAAGTCAAAGTATAGGTTAGGGCAGTGTGAGCAGGACCAGCGGTGTCATTTGACTTAATAAATGAGGATCGGATGTCGTCAACCTTCTTTTCAAAATGGTTGACAAAGTCGTCCACAGAGAGGGATGAGGCAGGGGGGGGAGGAGGGGGATTCAGCAGGGAGGAGAAGGTGGCAAAGGGCTTCCTAGGGTTAGAGGCAGAGGCTTGAAATTTAGAGTGGTAGAAGCACCAAAGTGCGACAAAATATTTTGCTGTGAGACCAGGAGTTTTATTTTGGGAGCACTGTGCAACTATGAAAAAAATCAGGTGATCAATGATCATAGCAATGAATGAATGAATGACAGACCTCTTGCATGTTGTCATCACAAACCTGACGTTTTTAAAGAGACAGTGTAGAATTTTAAATGTAATGCATTTCAATAGGAAAATAGTGCTTTTACACAATGTAGAAATCTAATAAATCCACAAATGACTTAATTGTAATAACTGTAATTTCAATAATAGGTGTTCATACCAACATTTTAACTTTTATAATAAGCTAATGTGTTTATAGTATTACATATTAGGTTCTAGGGCACAACATGTGCTTCAGAAGTAGCTAGAATTCATATAGGCCCAATATAGGCTGTATCACAATGAATTCCAAAAATCTAATTTTCTTGTGCTCATAAATGTAATGTGGTGGTCCTAACCTTTTTAAGTTGGGAGCGCCAGTGCTACCAATAAAAAATGTTGATTTGGAGCCCTGCCCACAAGTGATAAAAAAATATATATTATTAAAAGTGTTATTGATGATTACTTGTTGGAGCAGCAAACAGTGAGGTGAAATTACCGCTGAGGAACCAACACTGGCATGAACACACACTACATAGATCAGGGAAGGGCCTTTGATGGGGTGGGAGCCACAAAAAATCTGAACTCATTGGTCTGCGTACCCACATGTGCATACCCCTCTTGACAGTGGAGAGAAATCTTTTACGTTTTAGAGTAAATTTAGTTCAATTCTACACATTTTGCCATGTGGCGGAGATAAGATTTCGCAATTTTATAACGAATTTCAGGCAATTCTATTAATTTTGCCATGGGGCAGAGAGGAATTTTTACTGTTTTACATCTAATTTCCTGCAATTCTACACATTTTACCATGGGGTGTAGAGAAAATGTTGAACATGATGAAATTGCACCTTGTCTATTCTAAGATGAGACCCCGACTGATTATTGTTTTTTTTTATGGATCTGAGGGCGCCTGCGGGCCGCCAGTTGCCCATCCCTGACATAGATAGACACTGCGCTATCTAGAGCAGTGAATCCAAAGAATCATCTGAATGTTTGTGTTAGTTGTTAAGCCCTGTCTTGTTCTTACTTAGTGAATTTTGCTAGAGGTTTACCGTGGGATAGTCTTACTAAACTGGCACCTGACTACAAGTTAACTATTGAGTTAGAAGTTATATATTCACTTGGCTAAATGACTTTGCTAACTCAATTGGCTAATTGACTTGCTTTCCCCCTTTTATCCCCCTTTAAAACACATACACTCCAACAGCCCGTTGCTATGACAACCTGGATGCCTGCGTGGTGGTGCGATCTCCAGACCTGTCCACTGCTGCATCTCTGATGGAGGTGGGTAGTACTGTCTTACCTGTACATGATCTCTATGTTGGGCTTGTACTTTAGACTGCGTCACTGTGTATGGTGTTTGTGTATTGTGTTGTTGTTGTACTCTACTACAGTATGTTGTTGTTGTTGTTGAGGTGGACCCTAAGGACGTGATGTCATGTCTGACCACTCGTACCCTGATCACCCGGGGTGAGAGTGTGTCCACCCCCCTCAGCATGGAACAGGGCCTGGACGTCAGGGACGCCTTTGTCAAGGTCAGGACCCTGACACGCATGCGTGTGAACACGGACACCTTTTATTATCAAAGTGAGGACACACACTCCTAAATCGGATCCCTCACAGAAGGTCAAAGTTCCTTTCTGTCTAATGAAAGCTGTTCCTCCAAGAGCATCTACGACACGGTGTAAATGAACGTTGTCCCTCCTGTCGCAGGGTATCTATGGGAGGCTGTTTGTGTGGATTGTGGACAAGATCAACGCGGCCATCTTCAGACCTCCATCCTGTGAGAGTAAGATCATAAGGAGGTCCATTGGCCTGCTCGATATCTTCGGCTTCGAGAACTTCACAGTCAACAGGTGGTTCAAATTCAAAAGTCTAAAAGCTTTTTTTTCCATTTAGGGTACGTTGTATATGGAGCATGCCATGACATAATTGTAATGAATTCCCTATTGGAATTATCTATTGGAAAATTGGATGACAATGGTATGTGCCTGACTAAAGTCAGACAATAGTGACAGCCTCTTTTGTTGATTTGTGCGGTTGACATGCTCACTGCATGGCTTTATACTCGATTGGCTGTCCAGGGACTGGCTCTCGCTACGTTCCTTCCCTGTAGATTTGAGCAGCTGTGCATCAATTTTGCCAGCGGGAATCACAGACACACACACAAATAACCACACACACACACGGATACGTTTTACTATCAAAGTGAGGACACGCACACCCCTAAATTGATTGGCTGTTGAGTGACCGACTATGTTTCTTCTTCCCTGAAGCTTTGAACAGCTGTGCATCAACTTTGCCAATGAGAACCTGCAACAGTTCTTTGTGAGGCATGTGTTCAAGCTGGAGCAGGAGGAGTACAACCTAGAGGACATCAACTGGCAGCACATCGAGTTCACTGACAACCAGGACGCCCTTGACATGATTGCCAATAAACCTATGAACATCATATCTCTCATAGACGAGGAGAGCAAGTTCCCCAAGGTACAGTACCAATATGGCAACTTACCATTTTATGTAAATCAATATGCATATTGTGTTTAGGTATTGTAAGAGGGGATGGACAGTTGGAGGCATTAAAAAGTTTGCTATTTAAAACTCTGTACCGAGGTACCGTGTTTTGTGGCAAATTATCTAAGAGACATGCCGAGAGGAGCCCGGTATTGCATACCAATACCACGGCACACTAATTTTTTACAATTGTAACCTGACTATGCCTTTGCCCCTGAGTGAGTAAATAAAATGCTATTGATTTCTATTCGTTTGTGGTCACAAACTTGAAGGGTGCGTCCGAAATAGCACCCTAATCCTATGCCCCCTTTATAATAATAACATAGTATATGCCATTTAGCAGCTGCTTTCATCCAAAGTAACTTACAGTCATGCATGCATACCATTTACGTACGGGTCCTGGGAATTGAACCCACTATCCGGATGTTGCAAGCGCCATGCTCTACCAACTGAGCTACAGAGGACCATATAGTGAATAGGGTATAATTTCAGAAGCAGCCTAAATATTTTTTCTCTGTTTGTGTCTCTCAGGGAACAGACTCCACCATGCTGTATAAACTCAACTCCCAGCACAAACTCAACACCAACTACCATCCCCCTAAGCACACCTACGAAACACAGTTTGGCATCCAGCACTTTGCTGGGGTGGTCCACTACGAGACCAGAGGTAGGCCTATTCTAAGGCATTAGCTTCACACTCAACCCAATTCATTGTAATCACATAATGAAGTCCCTGATGCTCCATGTAGTAGGACTTGGTTGGATTCTATAGGTAGGTTCATGGTCAGAAGACAAAGTATTGAGTCTATTAGTTGTTCATATGCTCGATGTCAAATCAACCCCTAGCCACTACACCCTAGGCACTTGTGAAGATCAGAGAGGATATGCCATGTGTAAGCAATGTGGTAATGACTCCACCTTGCCCTCTGATAAACGTATTTACACCTATCATATCTCCACAAGTGCATAGTGAAGAGGCCATGCCTAGAGGTTGGTTTGGAATTGGACATGGCTGACTCCTGTGTGTTTCAGGCTTCCTGGAGAAGAATCGTGACAGCCTCCACACTGACATTATCCAGCTGGTCCACTCCTCCAAGAACAAGTTCATCAAGCAGATCTTCCAGGCTGACGTCGCCATGGTGAGAGAGGACGTGTCTGGTGGTCACATAGTGATGATATTATGATGACACCTTGAATGTATTTTCCCTACTCACTCCACCAGGCTGTGTCCACGAAGCAAAAGGGAGAAAAGCTTAGAGTAGGTCATGATGGTGGAATTCCAGAGAAGCTTTAGACTATATAAATAGAATAACTAGAAAGTGCCTCCCCATTTAAGTCAACAGGTCTGTAATGGGTGGACCGGTGGCCATTTTAAAAGTGTACCCACTTATTTTTCTATGGTTATGACATCTTTTGTGACCTATAGTCAGAAGTTTCCTGTCTCCAAGTGATGATGTCATCAAGCGATCACTCTCAATTCTTACTTTTCTTTACTATTGCTACTATTCTTCTTTCCCTTAGCATTAGGCATGGCTAATACCAACACTCCCCTATCTTCATCTCTTAATCGTCCTCTGTCGTTCTCTTTCTCTTGTTGTGTTCTCTTGTTCTGTCTGACCCCAGTTTCTGTGTGGCTATCTGCCGCCCACCACTCCTTCTCCGAAGGTAAACAACGGCCATTCCTTCTGTGGTAAAGCAATTTTGTACATAAACCCTGGATTGCTGATGTTATGTATTGGCCATAGAGAGGCTTTGACGCCACTGGTCGGCCATATTGGCACTCCCCAATAGGAGCAGTCCTCCATAGGAACGAATGGAATTATACAGCATTTCAATTAAATGTTTAAGGACAAAATAACATGTATTTAAGTATTATTTGTTGTTGTAGTGGGGACAGTAACATTAGTACTCTCTAAAAAAAATACTTTAAGGAAAATGTTTATATATGTATTTTTTTTTTTTATGTTTAACTCGCTTATAATTTAAAAGTATAGAATAGAATAAGTGTCAAAAATGAATGTAGACATTAATAAATGCATTTATATAGCTTCCAAAATCTTTTTTTACAATGGAGGAGTACCAAGATGGCTGCACACCCTGTCAGTCATCCAGGATTTATACACATCACTGAGTAAAACCCAGATCTCACTGCTGCCACCAAACCTTGTGTATCTTGTGTTTCTCCAAAAAAAAAATCCTTCCATTCTCTGTGGAACTCAAACCTTTCTGTCCCTCTTTCTTTTCAGTCTTCATCCCAGTGGTACTAATATTAAAACAGTGATTCTCAAATATTTGTAATCTGTGACCACGTCATTTGTCACTGCGACCTAGCAGGAACTGGCCACAACCCACCAGGGGGTCACAACCCACTATTTGAGAAACACTGTGATTTAGAGTTGTGTTTAGAGTTTACACCAGGGGTCTTCAACATTTTCTTGCCCAGTGACCCTCTCCCAGACAAACCGGCAACCCAGGGACCCCCATGATATGTTAGCAAAAAACTAAATGTGCATGTCTTGTCTTATCAGATAATGTCAAGGAGAAGTAATCAACATTTTAAAATGAATAGATTTGGTAGATAGTTTTTCATTATTTTGAGGAAGTGTAAACTCTAGCATAGCCTACTAGCTAGAAAGGTAACTCCAAACACATTTTCGCTAAGAGCAGCTGTTTATCTGGTTAAAAAGGTTAGCATGTGTTGTCAAAAATGTATGTGCAAGTCAAAAAATTTAACAGCAGCCAGCAGCACTTGCCACACTGGTAGCCTATACTCCAGTGAGTGTAATTGGCTCCAATGAGTGTAATTTGCTCAATATTAGAAGGTTGAAAAAGAAAGTTGGCATCATTAGAAAGAAGATATTCTCCTCTTTTCTCCTGTAGGTATGTCATTCAAAATGTGTTTATTCTGTTGTTGCTAGCAATATTCATAGAAAAATTTTGTGTTTTTTTCTGTGGACCCCATGCAGTACCTCTGCGGACCACCGGTTGAATAACCCTGGTTTACACATACATTTAAAGGCACAATCTGTAGCATTCCCTGTTGTTCAATTGTCATTTCAATTTGTGGTATACATATTGATTCTTGAAGAATATAACTTATAAATGTCAGTCCTTGCATCCATAGCTCTGCCTATGAATCTTAGAGTGGTTGAATTTTCCCAGCCCCATCCCTCAGATAACCAAACAAAGTGTCAGGGTCAGGTTGTTAAAATGAAAAATACATTGCTCTGTGTGTGTGTTGCCAGGGTGTGGAGACCAGGAAGCGATCCCCTACTCTGAGTAGCCAGTTCAAGCGTTCTCTGGAGCTTCTCATGAGAACCCTCAATGTATGTCAGCCTTTCTTTGTCCGCTGCATCAAACCCAACGAGCTCAAGAAACCCATGGTGAGTCCAACCTGAGGAACACACTAGCATAAAAGAGTGTGTGTATGTGTGGGGGGCGGGGTATTTGCGTGTGGTGTGTGTGGGCATGCCTGTGTGTGTGCGTGTGATTGTGTTGGTGATTGCATGCGTGCCTGTGTGTGTCACGATGTTCGTTTACCTTTCCCTTACAGCTGTTCACTTTGTTAACTCTGTCTGTGTGTCTGTCCATCTAGCTGTTTGACAGGGAGCTGTGTGTGCGTCAGCTGAGGTACTCTGGGATGATGGAGACCATTCGTATCAGACGTGCCGGTTACTCCATCAGATACACCTTCGGAGAGTTCGTAGATCGTTACCGCGTCCTCATGCCCGGAGTCAAACCTGCCAACAGACAGGTTAGCAGAGTTGGGCCCTGTTCATTAGGCACCAAACAAAAGAAATTGACTGAAACAAGGAGAGCCTCCTGGACTTGTCCAATAAGAAAAGCTTGTTTTCTGTTCCAAAATGTTTTAGAACATCTGTTTTCTGTCCTAATGAAGACAACCCTGCTGTCACTTTCGATTATATTACTATGTTCTGCTACTCTACTTCAGGATGGCTATTAGTTCAGAGAGGAGTCATTCATTCCCTGGTGTTTTCTCATAGGAGGACCTGAGAGGGACGTGTGAGAATATAGTGGAGGCTGTTCTTGGACGAGATGACGACTGGGAGATTGGGAAGACCAAGATCTTTCTTAAGGCGACTAGATTTCATAGATTACAAATCGACATGTACAGTGAGGGAAAAAAGTATTTGATCCCCTGCTGATTTTGTAAGTTTGCCCACTGACAAAGACATGACCAGTCTATCATTTTAATGGTAGGTTTATTTGAACAGTGAGAGACAGAATAACAACCAAAAAATCCAGAAAAACGCATGTAAAAAATGTTATCAATTGATTTGCATTTTAATGAGGGAAATAAGTATTTGACCCCTCTGCAAAACATGACTTAGTACTTGGTGGCAAACCCTTGTTGGCAATCACAGAGGTCAGACGTTTCTTGTAGTTGGCCACCAGGTTTGCACACATCTCAGGAGGGATTTTGTCCAACTCCTCTTTGCAGATCTTCTCCAAGTCATTAAGGTTTCGAGGCTGACATTTGGCAACTCGAACCTTCAGCTCCCTCCACAGATTTTCTATGGGATTAAGGTCTGGAGACTGGCTAGGCCACTCCAGGACCTTAATGTGCTTCTTCTTGAGCCACTCCTTTGTTGCCTTGGCCGTGTGTTTTGGGTCATTGTCATGCTGGAATACCCATCCACGACCCATTTTCAATGCCCTGGCTGAGGGAAGGAGGTTCTCACCCAAGATTTGACGGTACATGGCCCCGTCCATCGTCCCTTTGATGCGGTGAAGTTGTCCTGTCCACCTTAGCAGAAAAACACCCCCAAAGCATAATGTTTCCACCTCCATGTTTGAAGGTGGGGATGGTGTTCTTGGGGACATAGGCAGCATTCCTCCTCCTCCAAACACGGCGAGTTGAGTTGATGCCAAAGAGCTCCATTTTGGTCTCATCTGACCACAAGACTTTCACCCAGTTCTCCTCTGAATCATTCAGATGTTCATTGGCAAACTTCAGACGGGCATGTATATGTGCTTTCTTGAGCAGGGGGACCTTGCGGGAGCTGCAGGATTTCAGTCCTTCACGGCGTAGTGTGTTACCAATTGTTTTCTTGGTGACTATGGTCCCAGCTGCCTTGAAATCATTGACAAGATCCTCCCGTGTAGTTCTGGGCTGATTCCTCACCGTTCTCATGATCATTGCAACTCCACTTGGTGAGATCTTGCATGGAGTCCCAGGCCGAGGGAGATTGACAGTTCTTTTGTGTTTCTTCCATTTGCGAATAATCGCACCAACTGTTGTCACCTTCTCACCAAGCTGCTTGGCGATGGTCTTGTAGCCCATTCCAGCCTTGTGTAGGTCTACAATCTTGTCCCTGACATCCTTGGAGAGCTGTTTGGTCTTGGCCATGGTGGAGAGTTTGGAATCTGATTGATTGATTGCTTCTGTGGACAGGTGTCTTTTATACAGGTAACAAACTGAGATTAGGAGCACTCCCTTTAAGAGTGTGCTCCTAATCTCAGCTTGTTACCTGTATAAAAGACACCTGGGAGCCAGAAATCTTTCTGATTGAGAGGGGATCAAATACATATTTCCCTCATTAAAATGCAAATCAATTAATAACATTTTTGACATGCGTTTTTCTGGATTTTGTTGTTGTTATCCTGTCTCTCACTGTTCAAATAAACCTACCATTAAAATTATAGACTGATCATTTCTTTGTCAGCGGGTAAACGTACAAAATCAGCAGGGGATCAAATACTTTTTTCCCTCACTGTATATTATCATATTTTCACCTACATTATTACACATATTATGATAAAATAAACAATGCTATCTCTCTCTTTCTCTACTCTGTCTCTCCCGCTCCCTCTCCGTCTCAGGACCACCATGACATGCAGCTGGAGATAGACAGGGACAAGGCCATCACTGACAAGGTCATCCTCATCCAAAAGGCTGTAAGAGGAATGAAGGAGAGGTGAGGAAGGAGGGGATAGAGACAGGGGGAGAGGAAAGAGGAGGGGCAAGAGGGAGGAGGGAGGGTGAGAAGGGGGAGAGGAGACATGCGGTGGTTGTGGAGAGGGGATTCGGTGAAGGATCTTCTTCAAGTTAAGATTTGTTTATCCATATTGTACTTCGGGACATTTTTTCACTTTCTTCCTAATAGATCTAATTCAGATACTACCGTTGAATTGTCTGGACATTTCAATGCACACATGTTGTGTTTGAGAGCTACAGAATTATATAATAGGTTTTCATATGCACCTCTCCCCACCCCTGTCTCCCCCCTCCCTCCTTCCCCCTGTGTGTTTTCCAGGACTAACTTCCTGAAGGTGAGGAGGTCAGTGACACTCATTCAGAAGACGTGGCGCGGCTATCGGTGCAGGAAGGACTACAGTGCAGTGAGTTCCTCTATGTCCATGATTACTGACATTTCACAACCGTCCATTTTCTGGATGGTTCACTTGGACGTATCCCTGGGCAGGAATGACATTTAGTCCCTCATTGGACGTTCCTTAAAATAACGTCCCACAGTTACTGAACTTTGGGTTGTAGTTATGTTGCTATAACGTTATAGTTGTGTTATATTGGTGTAGTTATGTTGTTAGAATTTTATATTGGTGTTTGAGAGTCTTGTTGGTGTCTCCTCTCCAGATGAGGATCGGCTTCCTGCGCCTCCAAGCCCTCTATAGGTCAAGAAAACTCTTTGTCACCTACCAATTGGCCAGGACGTGCATCACTCAAATACAGGCCCGTTGCCGTGGTTTCATGGTGAGGCGGTCCTTTTGGCGGCAGCTGCATGCAGTGATCACCATCCAGGCATACGCCCGGGGCATGATCGCACGGAGGGTTACCCAGAGACTCAGGGCAGAGGTAAGATGCTACACTACTCATACGCATATGCATACACACAGAGATAGACACACAGCAAGGCAACAGGGCTAAAGTAAGGCAGGAGGGGAAAAATGAAAATCTTATACTGCATAAACCACAGTATAACTGAGCAGAAACTCAGTGACTGAAAACGCACACATTTATTTAGGTCTTTGTGGCCTACTTCGACTCAAGAAGGCTATTTTATCTATACTCCTTTTGCTTCTGCTTCTTTTTCCATTTATTGAATGTTTTGTAACCTGTGTTTACTTCCTGCTACTGTACTTTGACATCTAAGAACATTTATGAAAATGTGTAAGTAATTAAACAACTCTCTCCCCCCTCTCTCAGCACCGGCGGCGTCAAGAGGCGGAGGGCCAGCGTCTGGTCGAGGAGGAACGTCTGAGGAACCAGATGACGGTGCGGCGGGCACGGGCCGAGGCTGAGAGGAGTCACCGGGAGCGCCTGGCTGAGCTGACCCGTCAGGAGGAGCAGAGGGAGATGGAGGGCGCGACGAAAGAAGGAGATGGTGGAACAGGTTCCTAAAGCACATAATTGTTTACTTAGGGGCAAATCTTAACTTACTACTACCCAATATCTTGTCTTTAGTTTATCTGGTAAACATTCATATCATACTCTGTTGACTTATGTTTTTATTATTCACATGATCAATGTATTACCCATTTTGGGTTTCTCTTCCTCACCTGCATATACAATAGCCTGATCCCAGATCGGTTTATGCTGTCCAAGCTACACATAGAGTACCCTGTGTTATATGTTTGATGTTGTCCTTTGTTTTTACTCTGTGTCTATAACTAAACCTCAACCCAACAGGTGGAGCGGGAGAGGCAGCAGCCGGTGGACCACTCAGACATGGTGGACCAGATGTTTGGCTTCCTGGGGAACACAGGGGCACTGCCTAACCTGGAGGGACAGGGGCCGGCCGGCTTCGAGGTGAGATTGGGGGTAGGACAGTAGATACTGTCTGTCTAGGTACAGTGGTGTATGTGCAAGGGGTATGGGTGTAGATGTAAGGGGTATGGGTTTAGATGTAAGGGGTATGGGTTTAGATGTAAGGGGTATGGGTTTAGATGTAAGGGGTATGGGTTTAGATGTAAGGGGTATGGGTTTAGATGTAAGGGGTATGGGTGTAGCTGTAAGGGGTATGGGTGTAGCTGTAAGGGGTATGGGTGTAGCTGTAAGGGGTATGGGTGTAGATGTAAGGGGTATGGGTTTAGATGTAAGGGGTATGGTTTAGATGTAAGGGGTATGGGTTTAGATGTAGGATGTGTGTGTCTGTGTGCCTTCATGTACAGTGGGGGGAAAAAGTATTTAGTCAGCCACCAATTGTGCAAGTTCTCCCACTTAAAAATATGAGAGAGGCCTGTAATTTTCATCATAGGTACACGTCAACTATGACAGACAAATTGAGGGAAAAAAATCCAGAAAATCACATTGTAGGATTTTTAATGAATTTATTTGCAAATTATGGTGGAAAATAAGTATTTGGTCACCTACAAACAAGCAAGATTTCTGGCTCTCACAGACCAGTAACTTCTTCTTTAAGAGGCTCCTCTGTCCTCCACCCGTTACCTGTATTAATGGCACCTGTTTGAACTTGTTATCAGTATAAAAGACACCTGTCCACAACCTCAAACAGTCACACTCCAAACTCCACTATGGCCAAGACCAAAGAGCTGTCAAAGGACACCAGAAACAAAATTGTAGACCTGCACCAGGCTGGGAAGACTGAATCTGCAATAGGTAAGCAGCTTGGTTTGAAGAAATCAACTGGAAGACATACAAGATCTCACCCCGTGGGGTCAAAATGATCACAAGAACGGTGAGCAAAAATCCCAGAACCACACGGGGGGACCTAGTGAATGACCTGCAGAGAGCTGGGACCAAAGTAACAAAGCCTACCATCAGTAACACACTACGCCGCCAGGGACTCAAATCCTGCTTAAGCCAGTACATGTCCAGGCCCATCTGAAGTTTGCTAGAGTGCATTTGGATGATCCAGAAGAGGATTAGGAGAATGTCATATGGTCAGATGAAACCAAAATATAACTTTTTGGTAAAAACTCAACTCGTTGGGTTTGGAGGACAAAGAATGCTGAGTTGCATCCAAAGAACACCATACCTACTGTGAAGCATGGGGGTGGAAACATCATGCTTTGGGGCTGTTTTTCTGCAAAGGGACCAGGACGACTGATCCGTGTAAAGGAAAGAATGAATGGGGCCATGTATCGTGAGATTTTGAGTGAAAACCTCCTTCCATCAGCAAGGGCATTGAAGATGAAACGTGGCTGGGTCTTTCAGCATGACAATGATCCCAAACACACCGCCCGGGCAACGAAGGAGTGGCTTCGTAAGAAGCATTTCAAGGTCCTGGAGTGGCCTAGCCAGTCTCCAGATCTCAACCCCATATAAAATCTTTGGAGGGAGTTGAAAGTCCGTGTTGCCCAGCGACAGCCCCAAAACATCACTGCTCTAGAGGAGATCTGCATGGAGGAATGGGCCAAAATACCAGCAACAGTGTGTGAAAACCTTGTGAAGACTTACAGAAAATGTTTGACCTGTGTCATTGCCAACAAAGGGTATATAACAAAGTATTGAGAAACTTTTGTTATTGACCAAATACTTATTTTCCACCATAATTTGCAAATAAATTCATTAAAAATCCTACAATGTGATTTTCAGTATTTTTTTTTCTCATTTTGTCTGTCATAGTTGACGTGTACATATGATGAAAATTACAGGCCTCTCTCGTCTTTTTAAGTGGGAGAACTTGCACAATTGGTGGCTGACTAAATGCTTTTTTTCCCCACTGTATGTCTGTGTGTGTGGGTGGGTGCACCTGCCTGTCTGCCTGCCTCCACTCAATGGCGTAGCACACACACCCGCAGCCTCCGCAAGGCCCCATTAGATTTCTCTCAAATCCTAAATTAATCAGGAATGAGCAAGGTCCCCTAATTCATGTCTTCATTACATGTAGTGCAACAAGATCTCTCATGGTTTGTAAAGTTTGTTTTTATTGGGGATTTTCAAATTAATAATTTTCTATAGTTTGTATTGAACTTTTATTTCTAGAGTATCAGTCAACTCCATCAGTGGCTTGTGAACTCCGTCACTGATTCATTTGTTGTCAATATTCTGAAAAAATATTTTGTTCTGCAACATATGCTTAAACAATTGAAGTATTTCTAGAAAATATCTAGAAAAACATGCGAAAATGCTAGAGCACGTAATAGTGCTATAAACAAAAATACGTTAATAATAATATAATATAATATGCCATTTAGCAGACGCTTTTATCCAAAGCGACTTACAGTCATGCGTGCATACATTTTTTTTTTGTGTATGGGTGGTCCCGGGGATCGAACCCACTACCTTGGCGTTACAAGCGCCGTGCTCTACCAGCTGAACTGGCCTTTAAACATTGTTGGACAATAATTGTAAAAATGAAATGCCTTTTATGGTGTCTGAGAGTTGACAGAAATGAGTTAGTTGCACTTTTTGATTAACTAAATAATAATTAGGAGGGTGATCCTTTACATGGTATGATAGCTGATACTTTGGTCTATCAAAATATATATTTCACATTTTGTTCATATATTTGTGGAAAATGTTGAGATTGTCCCATCTTTCAAGTATCCCTGACCTCTAAAACAGCAACATTTTCTGTCCGCCTCATGGCACAATGTGTAAAATAGCATGAGATTAGCTATTGATTAGCCGTGAAACTGCGCTATGCCACTGGTGTACCTACGTGTGTGTGTGCACATGTGCCTCTCTGCGTGCCTGCATCCCTCCCTCTGTGCAGGCCTCCATGCCTCTGTGTCTCTGTGCCTGTTTACATGGGTGTGTTGTAGGACCTGGAGGTGGCTCTGCGGGCCGAGGGGGAGGAGGACGACTTAGACGAGGCTCTCCCTCTGCCTGACGACGAGGAAGAGGACCTATCGGAGTACAAGTTCTCCAAGTTCGCCACCACGTACTTCCAGGGCACCACCACACACACGTACGTGCGGCGCACGCTCAAGCAGCCTCTGCTCTTCCATGAGGACGAGGGTGACCAGCTGGTGAGTTGACCTCTGACTTTTGACCTTTGACCCATTGTGTGTATATTCACCATTGTGGTCCTACAGCTTTGCACATGAGCCCTGAGTCATGAGTGTCTCACTCAACATTACCTTAACCCCATTCAGGCTACCCCCCCCCCCTCCCCTTTGTGATACAAAGAGGGATTAAAATAGATTAAATTGTCATTTTTTTGTCAACAATCTACACAAAGTACTCTGTAATGTCATTTTTAGATAAATACAAATGTATAACTAAAATATAGTCGTTGCATAAGTATTCAGCCCATTTGTTGAGGCAAGGAGTAAAATGTAATTTAACAAATCAAATAATAAGTTACATGGACTCACTCTGTGTGAAATAATAGCTGTTGACATGATTTTTTAAATGACTAAACCTTCCTCTGTCCCTCATACATACAACAACTCAGTCAAGTATTGAATTTCAAACACAGATTTAACGTGGTATGTTCTTCAATGCTGGAAGGAGGGCCCCGAGTGAAAAAGTTTGGGAACCCCTGTATTAAACCACCCAGACACATCAAAGAGACAGTCGTCATTCTGAACTGAGCTACAGGACAGGAATGAAAATGCTTGGATGTTACCATGAGGCCATTGGTCATTTTAAAACGGCTACAGAGTTCAGTGGCTGTGATGGGAGAAAACTGAGGATGGATCAACAACATTGTAGTTGTAGTGGCGATTCCCTATGAAAAACCACTGGCACAGGAGAGAGCTGTCCATAGGTCCTTAACACGTCCACAAAAATCAGCTTTCCAAACGTTACTCTTTTTGGATGAAGTTCCCATTTATTGCGCATATAAAATATAAATAGCTCCAAAACACATATTCCTATAGAAAAGGTGCAGAGAGATGCATTCTATAAGCTGTATCTGTGAAATGGTAAGAACTGTATGTGCTCTCCTCTCACATGTGCTAACCCGTCCTGGTCACCTGTGCAACCTATATACACACACGTCACCAGTGACCCATGACCCCAACATAGTGCCCTCTAGTGTACAAAACAAGTAAAAATAACCCTTGACAGACAACATATACACAACACATAAACAGGCCAAAATGGCTCCTACAGTAGTGTCTCCACAATAATTACCTAAATGACAGAGTGAAAACAAAAATACAAATATACAGAATACAAAATAAGTCTAAAGTAAGGCTGCAAAAAAAACACAGCAAAGGAATACACTTTTGGCCTAAATGCAAAGCCTTATGTTTGGGGCAAATCCAACAGAACACATCACTAAGTAACTGCCTCCTTATTTTCAAGCTTGGTGGTGGCTGCATCATGGTATGGCTATGCTTGACATCGGCAAATACTGGGGAGTTTTTACGGATAAAAAGAAAAGGGATGGAGCTAAGCACAGGCAAAATCGTAGAGGAAAACCTGCTTCAAATCAAATTGTATTTGTCACATACACGTGTTTAGCAGATGTTATTGCGGGTGTAGCGAAATGCTTGTACTTCTATCTCCGACAGTAGAGTAATATCTAACAAGTAATATCTAACAATTTCACAACATATACCCAATACACACAAATCTAAGTAAGGAATGCAATTAAGAATATATACATATATGGACAAGCAATGACAGAGCGGCATGGACTAAGATACAGTATAATATTATAGAATACAGTATATACATATGAGATGAGTAATGCAAGATATGTAAACATTATTAAAGTGATTATTCAGTCTGCTTTACACCAGAGAGTGGGAGAGAGATTCACCTTTCAGCAGGACAATAACCTACAACACAAGGCCAAACCTACACTGGAGTTGCTTACCAAGAACATGTTGAATGTTCCCAAGTGGCCAATTTACAGTTTTGACTTAAATCTGCTAGAAAATCTATGGCAAGACTTGAAAATTGGTGTCTAACCATGATCAGCAACATCTTGACAGAGCTTGAAGAATTTTGAAAAGAATAATGGGCAAATATTGCACCATCCAGGTGTGCAAAGCTCTTATAGACTTACCCAAGAAGACTCACAGATGTTATCGATGCCTAAGGTGTTACTAACATGTATTGACTCAGGGAGCTGAATACTTATGCAACGACTATATTTTAGTTATTTAATTTGTATTAATCTTTATATATATATATATACACTACCGTTCAAAAGTTTGGGGTCACTTAGAAATGTCCTTGTTTTCGAAAGAAAATCTTTTTTTTTGTCCATTAAAATAACATCAAATTGATCAGAAATACAGTGTAGACATTGTTCATGTTGTAAATGGCTATTGTAGCTGGAAACGGCTGATTATTAATGGAATATCTACGTAGGCGTACAGAGGCCCATTATCAGCAACCAGTCCTGTGTTCCAATGGCACGTTGTGTTTGCTAATCCAAGTTGATCATTTTAAAAGGCTAATTGATCATTAGAAAATACTTTTGCAATTATGTTAGCACAGCTGAAAACTGTTGTGCTGATTGATTAAAGAAGCAATAAAACTGGCCTTGTTGAGACTAGTTGAGTATCTGGAGCATCAGCAATTGTGGGTTCTATTACAGGCTCTAAATGGCCAGAAACAAATAACTTTCTTCTGAAACTCGTCTGTCTATTCTTGTTCTGAGAAATGAAGGCTATTCTATGTGAGAAATTGCCAAAGAACTGAAGATCTCGTACAACGCTGTGTACTACTCCCTTCACAGAACAGCACAAACTGTCTCTAACCAGAATAGAAAGAGGAGTGGGAGGCCCCGGTGCACAACTGAGCAAAAGGACAAATACATTAGTGTCTAGTTTGAGAAACTGACGCCTCACAGGTCCTCATCAATCTACACACAATACCCAAAAATGACAAAGCAAAAACAGGTTTTTAGACATTTCTGCAAATGTATAAAAAAAAAAAAATACTGAAATATCACATTTTCATAAGTATTCAGACCCTTTACTCAGTACTTTGTTGAAGCACCTTTGGCAGCGATTACAGCCTTGAGTCTTCTTGGGTATGACGCTACAAGCATGGCAAACCTGTATTTGGGGAGTTTCTCTCATTCTTCTCTGCAGATCCTGTCAAGCTCTGTCAGGTTGGATGGGGAGCGTCGCTGCACAGCTATTTTCAGGTCCCTCCAGAGATGTTCGATTGGGTTCAAGTCCGGGCTCTGGCTGGGCCACTCAAGGACATTCAGAGACTTGTCCCGAAGCCACTCCTGCGTTGTCTTGGCTGTGTGCTTAAGGTGAACCTTCGCTCCAGTCTGAGGTCCTGAGCGCTCTGGAGCAGGTTTTCATCAAGGATCTCTCTGTACTAGTCCCGTGTAGCTCAGTTGGTAGAGCATGGCGTTTGCAACGCCAGGGTTGTGGGTTCGATTCCCACGGGGGGCCAGTATAAGAAAAAAGAAATGTATGCACTCACTAAACTGTAAGTCGCTCTGGATAAGAGCGTCTGCTAAATTACTAAAATGTCAAATGTACTTTGCTCCGTTCATCTTTCCCTCGATCCTGACTAATCTCCCAGTCCCTGCCGCTGAAAAACATCCCCACAGCATGATGCTGCCACCACCATGCTTCACCGTAGGGATTGTGCCAGGTTTCCTCCAGATGTGACTCTTGGCATTCAGGCCAAAGAGTTCAATCTTGGTTTCATCAGACCAGAGAATCTTGTTTCTCATGGTCTGAGAGTCCTTTAGTTGCCTTTTGGCAAACTCCAAGCGGGCTGTCATGTGCCTTTTTCGGAGGCGTGGCTTCAGTCTGGCCACTCTACCATAAAGGCCTGATTGGTGAAGTGCTGCAGACTGGTTGTCCTTCTGGAAGGTTCTCCCATCTCCACAGAGGAACTCTGGAGCTATGTCAGAGTAACCATCAGGTTCTTGGTCACCTCCCTGACCAAGGCCCTTCTCCCCCGATTGCTCAGTTTGGCTGGGCGGCCAGCTCTAGGAAGAGTCTTGGTGGGTCCAAACTTCTTCCATTTAAGAATGATGGAGGCCACTGTGCTCTTGGGGACCTTCAATGCTGCAGAAATGTTTTGGTACCCTTCCCCAGATCTGTGCCTCGACACAATCCTGTCTCGGAGCTCTACGGACAATTCCTTCGACCTCATGGCTTGGTTTTTGCTCTGACATGCACTGTCAACTGTGAGACCTTATATAGACAGGTGTGTGCCTTTCCAAATCATATCCAATCTATTGAATTTACCACAGGTGGACTCCAATCAAGTTGTAGAAACATCTCAGGGATGATCAATGGAAACAGGATGCACCTGAGATCAATTTCGAGTCTCATAGCAAAGGGTCTGAATACTTATGTAAATAAGGTATTTCTGTTTTTTATTTTTCATAAATTAGCTAACATTTCTAAAAAACAGTTTTCACTTTGTTATTATGGGGTATTGTGTGTAGATTGATGAGGAAAAAATCAATTTACTACATTTTAGAATAAGGCTGTAATGTAACAAAATGTGGAAAAAGGGAAGTGGTCTGAATACTTTCCGAATGCACTGTAATTTCGCAATTTGGGCGAACAATCCCTTTAAAACCACTCCCAATCCCCCCATCCCCCAGGCAGCGCTGGCGGTGTGGATCACAGTGCTGAGGTTCATGGGGGACCTGCCCGAACCCAAGTACCACATCGCCATCAGTGATGGCTCGGAGAAGATCCCCGTCATGACCAAGATCTACGAGACACTGAGCAAGATGACCTACAAGAGAGAGCTACAGACCGTGGAAGGAGAGGTGAGGGAGGTGGGTGAAGAGGGGGTGGGTGGAGAAGGGGGGAGAGATGAGGACCTACAAGAGAGAGCTGAAGGAGCTCCAGACTGTGGGGGGAGAGGTGAGGGGGCACTCCGAAGTGAAGCCTCCCCTAGGTACAGATTCAGGATCAGTTTCCACTCCCCCAAACATAGTTGAGAGAGGGGATAGAATATTGGTGGGGAGAGTATGGGTGGGGGTTAAGGGAGGATAAATGAGTGAGAAAAGGAGAGAGAGAGTGGGGTGGGTAGAGAAGAGATGAAAGGGAGGACATGAGAAAATATGGTGTTGAGGAGTTGGGGGAGGAGTGTGAAAGGGTGCTTGTGATTTTCTTTCCGTCACTGAGCTAATTTTAGGTCTGCTGAGCGCAAACTTCCAGCGCATTTACTGTGAACACTGAGGTTGTATATGCTTTAAGATACAGTTTGAGGAGTTGTCAAGTAGGCTACTGTGGCTATTCGATCATAATGTAGGCCTACCAGAGTGGCCTACCATCAAAAACAATGGAGAAAATGCATCCCATAACATTTTAACATGGAAATAGCTGTTCTATCATTCAGCCTACAGTAGCAGCCAATGTGTGGTGTTCAGTATAGGCCTACATTCCATGATACTTTTGAGAAAAAAACATGCAGGGCTTGACATTAACCTGTTTATCCACTTGTCCTTCAGACAAGGAGGTGACTGAAAATGTTTTTGTGTTGTTTGATGCAAGAAACCACTTTACAAAATAAAATGCATTATTATTCCCATACCATTATTACAGAGAATCAGACAAATTATGCTACCCTCTGCCTATTGGCTACTTAGCTTATTCAAGCCTGTCTCAAAATACAACACTGCCCCTTTAAGACAAAAAAAAAGCTCTTTACCTTGTCTACAAATTTACATGTTTTGTGTTCTTGTAGGAAGCAATCACTCCCCTATTACTGACTACAAATGATCTATAACTGGGCTAATAACTCACTAACTAGCAAAGTATATGAACAAAATGTGTATATTGGCCTACTGCAGCTCTGATTGTTTATGCCGCACCGGTCTGTGTAGAGTACGGGCTGAGTAGTGTGTGTCAATGCAATAGAATCCTACTCTGATGTGTTCTGCCTATAACAAATCTCTTTTCTAGTTTGTTTTGTTTCGGTATGTTGCATTGAAAGTATTGCGTTGATTCGATCACAATTGCCACAGCAAAGGGAAAAGTTGATAGTGTTAACAGGGAAAACTCTAGAACAGTGGTCACCAACCTTTTCTGAGTCAAGATCACCTTGAGTCAAAATGCAAGCCTAGATCTACCACTCAGATTTTTTTTTTTACATGCCTAGGCAACATTAACCAATTAAAAACAGTACTGTAGCAATGACGTTTGTGCAGTAAACTATAGGCCCAATACATTATCACCGCATATTGGCTTTGCTTGAATTGCCCCGCCAATGCATTGTTGTTCAGGCCATTAAAAAATATATATATTTCAAAATTTGAGGTAGGCTATATGATCACACCGGTAATAGATTAGTTGTTGTATTACTTGTGAAGCATAGCTGAGTGAGCATACATTTAAGTAATTTGCTTTTTATTTGTATTTTACTGGGCTGATGGTGCCTGCATCTGATGGTCAGTCTCAGCGGAGGGAGAGAGCAGCAGACTGAGGGTCCGCCTCTTATCATCCCTCCGCTCTCCCTTTCCTCCACTGACACTGACCAAAAAGGGACACCGCCTTCCAGCTGATGGCGAAACCCAAGTCGCACCGCGTTATTTCGGCCTCATGCACAAATTCATGTTGTTACTCCTATGAACAGAGTGAAATATTCCTCTATATTAAAAAAGACCCAAGCCGCTAATAATAACAACAATGCAAGCCTATAGATACACTTTCCTACTCATTCATTAGTGCTGCAGTGCTTGTTGTAGCGCTGTGTGGAAATAGGAAGAACACTCATTTTATGGCTTATAAAAGTGTTGAATACAAAGTGTTGACAGTGCTGAGTAAGTGACAGTGCTGAGTAAGAACTTCAACATGAACTCCCTCATAAAAACAGCAGCTCTTTGCTGTATTCGTTGACAGTCTCTATTTATTGTTTTAAACGTTTTGAAATCTCACAGTATCAACTTTTCTGTAGCTTTTTTTTATGCCTGCGTCCTTACTGCAGACACGGTAATTTGAGCAATCTGATTGGCCAGCAGCATATAGTGCACTTGATTTGCTCTCTGGGCCTGCCGGGAAGGCAGAGTTTGTACCTTCAGACACATGAAAGGGTTCAAACCGTTCGCCTACCCGGCGTGCAGGGCAGCTGAATCGGGTGCATCTACTGTCAACAGCCAGAGATGAATAAAAAAAATAGGAACACAAGGCTTTATCGTTGTTTTTTTAACAGAAATGTTTGCCGATGGACTAGGAATGCCTTGGAGATCGACCGGTTGGTGACCACTGCTCTAGAAAGTTGAGTGAAGTTCAATCTGGTGCTTCTCTCTGTGGGCTGATATTTCTGCCCGGCAGTCCCGGGAGCTGTGCAGCAGTCTCAGGGCAGCTTAGAGGGAACATTGCTTGTGAGGTATTCAATGTAAAATGGGACCGGAAGGGATGTGGTTTGGAGGGAGAACATAATAGGAAGGGTTTAAAGCCTAAGTTATACCTAACACAAATACACAACATAAGAATGCAATTAGCCAAGTAAAATAGTGTAGTTGAGTTGCTAATTGCGTTCTTGTTTTGTGTACTTGCCCAAGGTATAAATAAGGCTTAAGGCAGTGTTTTTCAACCCTGGTCCTAGGGATCCAAAGGGGTGTACATTTTTGTTTTGCCCTAGCACTCAGACATCTAATTCAACTAATCAACTTATCAAGCCTTTGATTACTGGAATCATTATTGGAATGTGTTAGTGCTAGGGCAAAAGTAAAACTGTGCACCCCTTTGGGTCCCCAGGACCAGGATTGAGAAACCCTGGCCTAAGGGAGCAGTTAAAGGTCAACTGCCCTTGAAAACCAACTTCTCCTTTTGAAAACAGACTATGTGGGATCCAGACACTGGCTCTTGCTATCTTGCCATAACAGATTTGGCAGAGAAATATCAGCTAAATATGATAGCCAGCTGCAGCTATCAACAAGCTATGCTAGCTAGCTGCTGTCAGTTTGGCTAAACACAAGGTCAGGCTTTAGCCTACACATAGAACTGAATTAGCTGACCATCTTGAGATGGCGTGTCAGTCAGGAGGGGAGAAGCCCTCAACTTCAAAACTTTGTTCTCTCCATAGCAAAACTAGCTTAGATTACCTCGCTGTACTCACTACTGCACTTCTTTGTTGTAATTGTAATGGCAAATACACACCCAAGAAGCACCCACATTAAACCACACCCCCAAGACAACTCTTGTTTGCCTTCAGTCATGGCCGCTAGCATTTCTTAATGAGCATTGATGAAAAACGAGGCAAAATCAGGAAGTGCAGTCGCACTTTAAGGAGATGAGAAGGTGGGTGTTGGGAGAATGGGTAGATTTTTTGTGTATGCTATCCAGGACACAGACAGACAGACAGACAGACAGACAGACAGACAGACAGACAGACAGACAGACAGACAGACAGACAGACAGACAGACAGACAGACAGACAGACAGACAGACAGACAGACAGACAGACAGACAGACAGACAGACAGACAGACAGACAGACAGACAGACAGACAGACAGACAGACAGACAGACAGACAGACAGACAGACAGACAGACAGACAGACAGACAGACAGACAGAAAACATAAAGCTCAACTACCCTCTCTCCCTCCCTCTTACAGAACAGCTCAATTGAAGGTGGTGGTGGGCAAAAGAAGAACAGTGTGAGACACAAGCTGGTCTCTCTCACCCTGAAGAGGAAGTCCAAGATCACTGAGGAGGTTTGTGTCTCATTATAGCTTTCATAATAATAATAGTATAAAAATAATAATGATAATACAGTTGAAGTCGGAAGTTTACATACACTTAGGTTGGAGTCATTAAAACTCGTTTATCAACCACTCCACAAAATTCTTGTTAACCAACTATAGTTTTGGCAAGTTGGTTAGGACATCTACTTTGTGTATGACACAAGTAATTTTTCCAACAATTATTTACAGACAGATTATTTCACTTATAATTCACTGTATCACAATTCCAGTGGGTCAGAAGTTTACATACACTAAGTTGACTGTGCCTTTAAACAGCTTGGAATATTACAGAAAATGATGTCATGGCTTTAGAAGCTTCTGATAGGCTAATTGACATCATTTGAGTCAATTGGAGGTGTACCTGTGGATGTATCTCAAGACCTACCTTCAAACTCAGTGCCTCTTTGCTTGACATCATGGGAAAATCAAAAGAAATCAGCCAAGACCTCAGAAAAAACATTGTACACCTCCACAAGTCTGGTTCATCCTTGGGAGCAATTTCCAAACGCCTGAAGGTACCACGTTCTTCTGTACAAACAATAGTACGCAAGTATGAACACCATGGGACCACGCAGCCGTCATACCGCTCAGGATGGAGACTCGTTCTGTCTCCTAGAGATGAACGTACTTTGGTGCGAAAAGTGCAAATCAATCCCAGAACAACAGCAAAGGACCTTGTGAAGATGCTGGAGGAAAAAGGTACAAAAGTATATGTATCCCCAGTAAAACGAGTCCTATATCGACATAACCTGAAAGGCCACTCGGCAAGGAAGAAGCCACTGCTCCAAAACCGCCATAAAAAAGCCAGACTACGGTTTGCAACTGCACATGGGGACAAAGATCATACTTTTTGGAGAAATGTCCTCTGGTCTGATGCAACAAAAATAGAACTGTTTGGCCATAATGACCATTGTTATGTTTGGAAGAAAAGGGGGGATGCTTTCAAGCCGAAGAACACCATCCCAACCGTGAAGTACGGAGGTGGCAGCATCATGCTGTGGGGGTGCTTTGCTGCAGGAGGGACTGGTGCACTTCACAAAATAGATGGCATCATGTGGAAGGAAAATGATGTGGATATATTGAAGCAACATCTTAAGACATCAGTCAGGAAGTTAAAGCTTGGTCGCAAATGGGTCTTCCAAATGGACAATGACCCCAAGCATACTTCCAAAGTTGTGGCAAAATGGCTTAAGGACAACAAAGTCAAGGTATTGGAGTGGCCATCACAAAGCCCTGACCTCAATCCTATAGAACATTTGTGGGCAGAACTGAAAAGGCGTGTGCGAGCAAGGAGGCCTACAAACCTGACTCAGTTACACCAGCTCTGTCAGTAGGAATGGGCCAAAATTCACCCAACTTATTGTGGGAAGCTTGTGGAAGGCTACCCAAAACATTTGGACCCAAGTTAAACAATTTAAAGGCAATGCCACCAAATACTAATTGAGTGTATGTAAACTTCTGACCCACTGGGAATGTGATGAAAGAAATAAAAGCTGAAAGAAATCATTCTCTCTACTATTTTTCTGACATTTCACATTCTTAAAATAAAGTGGTGATCCTACTTGGATTAAATGTCAGGAATTGTGAAAAACTGAGTTTAAATGTATTTGGCTAAGGTGTATGTAAACTTCCGACTTCAACTGTATATGCCAGTTAGCAGCACCATGCTCTTACCAACTGAGCCACACAATCCCCAAAATAGTGGGTTGGACCAACATTCTTGTTACTGCTTATGGATATGCCCATGTTAATATTTGACAGATTATATGGGTACTCTGATTGGTTATGGGAGTGTTCAGCATCTGTGGGAACCCCCCGTTGCCAACTCAGCATTTACCAATACCAATATCCAACTGACTGAATGGAAGTAATCACTAATGACATGTCTGTTCCCTGTTGGCCCCGCCTCCTCTTCTCCCCTATAGGTGACCCGGCATTTGACGGACGGCGATTACAGCCTACGGGGAAACAGCATGCTGGAGGACCGGCCCACCTCCAACCTGGAGAAGCTGCACTTCATCATCGGCAACGGCATCCTAAGGCCCGCCCTCAGGTGACCTACGACCCTTTGACTTATTCTACCAATTACTCTGAAGTATTTTTCTTGACTTTCTTAATCTGTTCTCTCCATGCCTCCCCTCCTTCATTGATGATCTAAGCTTCCACCATATTGCTTGGATGTTGGCCCACCACCTTAAGCGCAACCTCAACAAAACGGAGCTGCTCTTCCTCCCGGGGAAGGCCTGTCCGCTCCGAGACCTCTCCATCACAGTTGACAACTCCACAGTGCCTCTTGCCGTGACCCTGGACAACACCATGTCATTCTCTGCAAACATCAAAGCAGATACCCGTAGCACTGACGTCTGTAGCCATGAAGTGCTTTGAATAGCTGGTCATGGCTCACATCAACACCGTTATCCCAGAAACCCTAGACCCACTCCAATTTGCATACCGCCCCAACATATCCACAGATGATGCAATCTCTATTGCACTCCACACTGCCCTTTCCCACCTGGACAAGAGGAACACCTACGTGAGAATGCTATTAATTGACTACAGCTCAGCATTCAACACCATAGTGCCCTCAAAGCTCATCACTAAGCTAAGGATCCTGGGACTAAACACCTCCCTCTGCAACTGGATCCTGGACTTCCTGACAGGCTGCCCCCAGGTGGTAAGGGTAGGTATCAACACATCTGCCACACTGATCCTCAACACGGGGGCCCCTCAGGGGTGCGTGCTTAGTCCCCTCCTGTACTCCCTGTTCACCCATGACTGCATGGCCAGGCAAGACTCCAACACCATCATTAAGTTTGCCGACGACACAACAGTGGTAGGCCTGATCACTGACAACGATGAGACAGCCTATAGGGAGGAGGTCAGAGACCTGGCCGTGTGGTGCCAGGACAACAACCTCTCCCTCAACGTGACCAAGACAAAGGAGATGATTGTGGACTACTTGAAAAAAAAGAGGACTGAGCACGCCCCCATTCTCATCAACAGGGCTGTAGTGGAACAGGTTGAGAGCTTCAAGTTCCTTGGTGTCCACATCACCAACGAACTATCATGGTCCAAACACACCAAGACAGTCGTGAAGAGGGCACGACAAAGCCTATTCCCCCTCAGGAGACTGAAAAGATTTGGCATGGGTCCTCAGATCCTCCAAAAATTATACAGCTGCACCATCAAGAGCATCCTGACTGGTTGCATCACCGCCTGGTATGGCAACTGTTCGGCCTCCGACCGCAAGGCACTACAGAGGGTAGTGCGTACGGCCCAGTACATCACTGGGGCCAAGCTTCCTGCCATCCAGGACCTCTATACCAGGCGGTGTCAGAGGAAGGCCCTCAAAATTGTCAAAGACTCCAGCCACCCTAGTCATAGACTGTTCTCTCTGCTACCGCACGGCAAGCGGTACCGGAGTGCCAAGTCTAGGTCCAAAAGACTTCTCAACAGCTTCTACCCCCAAGCCATAAGACTCCTGAACAGCTAATCATGGCTACCCGGACTATTTGCACTGCCCCCCCACCCCATCTTTTTACGCTGCTGCTACTCTGTTAATTATTTATGCATAGTGACTTTAACTCTACCCACATGTACATATTACTTCAACTACCTCAACTAGCCGGTGCCCCCGCACATTGACTCTGCACCAGTACCCCCCTGTATATATAGCCTCCCTACTGTTATTATATTTTACTTCTGCTCTTTTTTTCTCAACACTTTTTTGTTGTTTTATTTTACTTTTTTATAAAAAATTAATTTCATCTGTTGGTTAAGGGCTGTAAGTAAGCATTTCACTGTAATGTCTGCACCTGTTGTATTCGGCGCATGTGGCCAATAAAATGTGATTAGATTTTTTACTCGCTCCTGCAGGTTCATGCTCTACAACATCCGTAGAGTACGACCTTTCCTCACACAGGAAGCGGCGCAGGTCCTAATCCATGCACTTGTCATCTCCTGTCTAGACTACTACAACTCTCTGTTGGCTCCCCGCTTGTGCCATCAAACCGCTGCAATTTATCCAGAACGCTGCAGCCCACCTGTTGTTCAACCTTCCAAAGTTCTCCCGTGTCACCCGGCTCCTCCGCACACTCCACTGGCTTTGAGTCGAAGCTCACATCATCTTCAAGACCCTGGTGCTTGCCTACGGAGCAACAAGGGAACTGCCCCTCCCTACCTTCAGGCTATGCTCAAACCCTACACCCCAGCCCGAGCACTCCGTTCTGCCACCTCTGGTATCTTGGCCCTCCCACCCCTACAGGAAGGCAGCTACCCCAATAGTCAGGACAGCGTCAGGACAGCGGAGTCCCTGCCCATCTTCCGAAAATGTCTGAAACCCTACCTCTTTGAAGAGTACAGTATCTTAAATAACTCCCACTGAGTTTTTTGCTAGTATCTCAGACTACTACATTTGTCATATGTTATTGTCTCACCTAGCTACAGTATTTTAAGATGAATGCACTAATTGTAAGTCGCTCTGGATAAGAGCATCTGCTAAATTACGTAAATGTAATTGTTTTCACCTGTCACAAAAAATAATTTGAACATGTATTCTAAGTGGTATGCTAGTTTGAATATGGGGACATCTAACCATCATACATTTTTTTCCTGGTTCTGACTTGAGATTGGCTTGTTTTCGCTGCTCGTGATCTGACGGTGGCTGTAATTGGCTGGCTGTTGTGTCCATTACCAGGGATGAGATCTACTGTCAGATCTGCAAGCAGCTGACCCAGAACCCATATAAGAGTAGCCATGCACGTGGCTGGATCCTGCTCTCCCTCTGCGCTGGCTGCTTCGCTCCCTCTGAGAAGTTTGTCAAAGTAAGACCCTCGTATTTTTGATAACACACACACAGCATATACACACATGAGTGCATACATGTATGCGAACACACACACAGACACCCCTCATTTGTCTGGGCCTAGTCCTGTTGAATTCGAAGTGGATCCACTGAATGTGCCCCAGAATGTCTCATTGGTGTTAACACCCCCCCACACACACACACACTTCCTCTCTCTCCTTCAGTATTTGCGTACGTTCATGATCAGTGGTCCGCCGGGCTACGCTCCATACTGCGAGGAGAGGTTGAGGAGGACCTTTGTGAACTGCACCAGGACCCAGCCACCATCTTGGCTCGAGCTGCAGGTATGCACAGATCTAGTATCAGTGAACCATGGTGGCAGTTCTAAACCGTATTATTAGGTGGAAAATGCTAAACTGAAATCAGTGTCTAGGGGCAACTTCTTCCCACTTGCGTGTCTGCCATTATTCCTCTACCATCATACTCTGCTTTCTACTGCTATGATGATGAGTAAATTTGTCTGAGACCTAAAGACTTGCATTAGCAGCCCATGATAATGGCTTAGGGTGGAGGGCGCAAGTTTTTTTGGGTTTGGACTGATTTGTTCATCAAAATGTATTTGCAGGCCAGAAAAAATGCAGTTATTACAAGATACAGTTGCTGCCAAATACATTGGCACCCTTGCACTTAAATGATTCGCTATTTCTTCAAAAATGTGTTGAAATTTAAATTCAACTCTTGGTCACCACACCTTGTTATTGGATTTTCTACATTGCAGAAGCAATAAAAAATGTGTAGCTTAAGTTTACCATTTTAATTTAGAAAATAAAGACAAATGGCATGGACAAAATTATTGGCACCCCGGAGGTAGGACTTGGTTGCACAGCCTTTGGCCAAGATAACTGCTGACAAACGGCGACTTTTCAGCAGCAAACTGCTCTAATTCTTCAATTTTTGAGGGGTGCCCTCCACCAACTGCTGTTTTCAGATATCTCCATTGGTTTTGGATGTGATTCAGATCTGGACTCTTCGCTGGTCACTCCAGAACAGTCCGGCATTGCTTCTTGAACCATTCCTGGGTGCTTTTTGATGTGCTGCTGGAAGACCCACAACCTTCAATGGAGACCCAGTTTTTGGACGCTGGGTTGAATGTTGGACACCTGATAATCTGCTGATTTCGTGATGCCTTGCACGTGTTCAAGGCCCCCAGTACCAGAGGCAGCAAAGCAATCCCACAGCATTATCAAACGTCCCTCATCTTTGATTGTCGGGAGGGTGTTATTTTCATTGGGTTTGCTGCTGAAGAGTGGGCCAAATTGCCAGTAGTAAGGTGCAGCAAGCTTATTGATGGCTACAAGAAGCATTTCTTGGCAGTTATCTTGGCCAAAGGCTGTGCATCCAAGTACTAGCTCCAGGGTGCCAATCAATTTGTCCATGCCATTTGTCTTTATTTTCTACATTTAAAATTGTAAAGTTAAGTAAAAAAAAAAAAAAAAACATTGGTTCTGCAATGTTGAAAATCTAATATCAATTTAAACCTAATTTAGAAGAAATAGAGAATTATTTAAGAAAAGTGCAAAGGCGCCCATATTTCTTGCCGCAACTGTATATACAGTGAGGGAAAAAAGTATTTGATCCCCTGCTGATTTTGTACGTTTGCCCACTGACAAAGAAATGATCAGTCTATAATTTTAATGGTAGGTTTATTTTAACAGTGAGAGACAGAATAACAACAAAAAAATCCAGAAAAACGCTTGTCAAAAATGTTATAAATTGATTTGCATTTTAATGAGGGAAATAAGTATTTGACCCCCTCTCAATCAGAAAGATTTCTGGCTCCCAGGTGTCTTTTATACAGGTAACGAGCTGAGATTAGGAGCACACTCTTAAAGGGAGTGCTCCTAATCTCAGTTTGTTACCTGTATAAAAGACAACTGTCCACAGAAGCAATCAATCAATCAGATTCCAAACTCTCCACCATGGCCAAGACCAAAGAGCTCTCCAAGGATATCAGGGACAAGATTGCAGACCTACACAAGGCTGGAATGGGCTACAAGACCATCGCCAAGCAGCTTGGTGAGAAGGTGACAACAGTTGGTGCGATTATTCGCAAATGGAAGAAACACAAAATAACTGTCAATCTCCCTCGGCCTGGGGCTCCATGCAAGATCTCACGTCGTGGAGTTGCAATGATCATGAGAACGGTGAGGAATCAGCCCAGAACTATACGGGAGGATCTTGTCAATGATCTCAAGGCAGCTGGGACCATAGTCACCAAGAAAACAATTAGTAACACACTACACCGTGAAGGACTGAAATCCTGCAGCGCCCGCAAGGTCCCCCTGCTCAAGAAAGCACATATACATGCCCGTCTGAACATCTGACTGATTCAGAGGAGAACCCTGTGAAAGTGTTGTGGTCAGATGAGACCAAAATGGAGCTCTTTGGCATCAACTCAACTCGCCGTGTTTGGAGGAGGAGGAATGCTGCCTATGACCCCAAGAACACCATCCCCACCGTCAAACATGGAGGTGGAAACATTATGCTTTGGGGGTGTTTTTCTGCTAAGGGGACAGGACAACTTCACCGCATCAAAGGGACGATGGACGGGGCCATGTACCGTCAAATCTTGGGTGAGAACCTCCTTCCCTCAGCCAGGGCATTGAAAATGGGTCGTGGATGGGTATTCCAGCATGACAATGACCCAAAACACACGGCCAAGGCAACAAAGGAGTGGCTCAAGAAGAAGCTCATTAAGGTCCTGGAGTGGCCTAGCCAGTCTCCAGACCTTAATCCCATAGAAAATCTGTGGAGGGAGCTGAAGGTTCGAGTTGCCAAACGTCAGCCTCAAAACCTTAATGACTTGGAGAAGATCTGCAAAGAGGAGTGGGACAAAATCCCTCCTGAGATGTTTGCAAACCTGGTGGCCAACTACAAGAAAAGTCTGACCTCTGTGATTGCCAACAAGGGTTTTGCCACCAAGTACTAAGTCATGTTTTGCAGAGGGGTCAAATACTTATTTTCCCTCATTAAAATGCAAATCAATTTATAACATTTTTGACATGCGTTTTTCTGGATTTTTTTGTTGTTATTCTGTCTCTCACTGTTCAAATAAACCTACCATTAAAATTATAGACTGATAATTTCTTTGTCAGTGGGCAAACGTACCAAATCAGCAGGGGATCAAATACTTTTTTCCCTCACTGTAGGTAATTATTACATACTTACTATCTGGTTTTAGACATTCAAGTGTAGCCTTTTTTTTTAATAAAAAATTATCCCCTCCCCCTCTCAGGCCACTAAGTCGAAGAAGCCCATCATGTTGCCGGTGACCTTCATGGATGGCACCACTAAGACCCTGCTGACCGACTCAGCCACCACAGCCAGCGAGCTGTGTAATTCCCTGGCGGACAAGATCAGCCTCCAAGACCGCTTCGGTTTCTCCCTCTATATCGCCCTGTTTGACAAGGTACTGGACTGGACCTCACTCGCTTCATCTGAGCGAGAGAAATGTGTAGATGTGTACACACACGCATGTATGCAAGCAGGGACACACTCACTCACTCTCACTTACTCACTAAGTCACTCACACATACAGTCTCACAAACTTGTTTGAGAAGCTATCGAACCCACAACTATTAACAATGTTGAATGTCCATTCTTCCCCCTCTCTCCCCCCAGGTATCCTCATTGGGCAGCGGCAGCGACCATGTGATGGACGCCGTGTCGCAGTGCGAGCAGTATGCCAAGGAGCAGGGCGCCCAGGAGAGGAATGCTCCCTGGCGCCTTTTCTTCAGGAAGGAGATCTTCACACCCTGGCACAATCCTGGCGATGACAGCGTGGCCACCAACCTCATCTACCAGCAGACCGTCCGGGGAGTGAAGTTTGGCGAGTACCGCTGCGAGAGGGTGAGTGGAGGCAGAGGGATGAAGGCCTGTATGAGGAGGGAGGTGAGAGAGCACATTTGGGGAATTTCCACTCTCCCTCTCTCTCTTCTAGGTTGATGAATGATGTGAGATGGCGTTTTTATGTGATATTTATTTAATACTGATGTACATTGAACAAAAGTATAAACCCAACATGTAAAGGGTTGGTCCCATGTTTTATGAGCTGAAATAAAAGATCCTAGAAATGTTCCACAGGCACAAAAAGCTTATTTCCCTTAATTTTGTGCACACATTTGTTTGTGAGCATTTCTCCTTTGGCCAAGATAATCCATCCACCTGACAGGTGTGGCATATCAAAAAGCTGATTAAACAGCATGATCATTACACAGGTGCACCTTGAGGTGTGGTCCTCTGTAGCTCAATTGGTAGAGCATGGCGCTTGTAACGCCAGGGTAGTGGGTTCGATCCCCGGGACCACCCACACGTAAAAATGTATGCGCACATGACTGTAAGTCGCTTTGGATAAAAGCGTCTGCTAAATGGCATATTATTATTATTATTATTATTATTATTATTATTATTATTATTATTGTGCTGGGGACAATAAAAGGCCACTCTAAAATGTTCCGTTTTGTAACACAACACAATGCCACAGATGTCTCAAGTTTTGAGGGAGTGTGCAATTGGCATGCTGACTGCAGGATAATTGAATATTCATTTCTCTACCATAAGCCACCTCCAACGTTTTAGAGAATTTGGCAGTACGTCCAACCGGCCTCACCACCACAGACCACATGTAACCACGCCAGCCCAGGACCTCCACATCTGGCTTCTTCACCTGCGGGATCATCCTGAGACCAGCCATCTGGACGGCTGATGAAACTGTGGGCTTGCACAACCAAAGAATGTCTGCACAGACTGTCAGAAACCGTCTCAGGGAAGCTCATCTGCATGCTCGTCGTCCTCACCAGGGTCTTGACCTGACGGCAGTTCGGCGTCGTAACTGACTTCAGTGGGCAAATGCTCACCTTCGATGGCTACTGGTACGCTGGAGAAGTGTGCTCTTCACGGATTAATTCCAGTTTCAACTGTACTGGGCAGATGGCAGATCGCGTGCATGGTGTCGTGTAGGCGAGCGGTTTGCTGATGTCAACATTGTGAACAGAGTGCCCCATGGTTGCAGTGGGGTTATGGTATGGGCAGGCATAAAGCTACGGACAACAAACACAATTGCATTTTATTGATGGCAATTTGAATGCAAAAGATCCTGAGGCCCATTGTCGTGCCATTCATCCGCCGCCATCACCTCATATTTCAGCATGATAATGCACAGCCCCATGTCGCAAGGGTCTGTACACAACTCCTGGAAGCTGAAAATGTCCCAGTTCTTCCATACTGGCCTGCATACTCACCAGACATGTCAACCATTGAGCACGTTTGGGATGCTCTGGATCGACGTGTAGGACAGCGTGTTCCAGTCCCACCAATATCCAGCAACTTCGCACAGCCATTGAAGAGGAGTGAGACAACATTCCACAGGCCACAATCAGCAGCCTGATCAACTCTACGAAGGACATGTGTTGTGCTGCAAATTGTGGTCACACCAGATACTGACTGGTTTTCTGATCTACACCCCTTCCTTTTTATTTATGTATCTGTGACCAGCAGACGCATTTCTATATTCCCAGTCATGTGAAATCCATAGATTAGGGCCTAATGAATTTATTTCAATTGACTCATTTCCTTATATGAACTGTAACTCAGTAAAATCTTAGAAATTGTTCCATGTTATCTTTAAATATTTTTGTTCAGCGTATATGTGAATGCACATTCATGCCTGATGTTTTTTTGTAAAATATGAAAGTGTTAAAGTTTCCCCTTATCTCTCACTCCATCTATCCACTCACCCTCTCTCAATCTCCCTCTCTCTCCATCTCTCTCCCATCCCGCTCTCTCTCGCTCAGGACGAGGATCTGGCAGGAGCTGGCATCTCAGCAGTACTACGTAGAATATGGCTCCGAGATCCTCCAAGAGCGCCTCCTCAAACTCATCCCCTCCTACATCCCTGACCGTGAAATCAGCTCCGCCAAGACAACTGACAAGTGGGCCCAGCTAGTTGTCTCTGCCCACAGAAAGGTAGGTGTCCCCCAAGGATCGGTTTCAGAGCCCTTCACTTTCGGACCCAAAATCTGTTTCTCGTGCTCTTACAACAGGATTTGTCCTTTGAACTATTTGTCACTATATTCAGGGATGTAGCGGTAGGGTAAACACACGTAAGCACTGTTTCCACTGCTTATTCTTTAATGAATAGCGTTTAAGCATCTACTACGCCAAATTACTGTTTTCTGAATGAACATTTGTTAATCGCCGCCCGTCATCTCAATCGGCGTTCAGTGTTTACCCACCTTTGTTTTTACCACTACAACTTGACTATATTGTCCTATGAACAGTACATACGCTCACACACCCAGTTCTCAAACAGTCTCTCTAACCCCTCCTCTGCCTCAGGGAGTCTACACCCAGAAGAGGTTGGACCCTCAGAAGGTGAAAGAGGACGTGGTTGACTTTTCTCGTTTCAGGTGGCCTTTACTCTTCTCCCGCTTCTACGAGGCCTTCAAATTTTCAGGTAAGTCCACTGTTGATATTTATGGGAGTTTTGGCCAATGTAATACAAGGGATGTAACACTAATTATATTTCTGAGAAAGACCTGTATCGTATCCATGATGATATGACTAATTGTAGGTTGAAATGACCTCTAAGTAACCTTTGAACCCCTCAGGACCTAGCCTGCCTAAGAATGACGTCATTGTGGCAGTGAACTGGACCGGGGTCTACTTTGTGGATGAGCAGGAGCAGGTCCTTTTGGAACTCTCTTTCCCAGAGATTACTGCTGTGTCCAGTAGCAGGTAATGCTGCTACTATTCCTGTCTCCCAATAGTCTGTAGTCATTATTCGTCAATGATAATTAGATATGTTTTCATTCACTTGGTTGTTACTACTTTTCATTGATATCATGTTATTATAATGATGTCATTGAAATGATACAAAAATATGTATTCTTCAGTTGTAATATACAAAGCAACTGAATTAGAATAAGCATGTGCTTTTATACAACAAAATGAAATATGGAAATATGGAAAGATGAAAAAAATATATATAAAATAATATTATAATCTGTAACATTGTTTTGATATTGTATGAATCATTTCCCGTTACAGAGGGGGTAAGCTCCAGGGCCAGAGCTTCTCGCTGGCCACCATCAAAGGAGACGAGTATACGTTCACCTCAAACAATGCAGAGGACATCCGTGACCTTATTGTGACCTTCCTGGAAGGCCTCAGGAAGAGGTCAAAGTTTGTGGTGGCGCTGCTGGACTGCCCCAACCCCTGTAAGTAACCTACTAGCGCCTGTACGTTATTTACTTTATCTTATTTGGTTTATTACACGGGGGCAATGCACATTGAGCAACATTGGAATCACTTTTTAAGAACAGGTAATGTTTTTCAAAGCCAGCAAGGGAAAGTATGGTGAATGACTGTGGTCTTGTTGGTGTTTTCTTGTACAGTGGCATGTTTTTCAACACCACCACACATGACTTTCCCTCACAGGGGACAATAAAGTTAATTGAATGGAATTTCCATTGAATTGAATGTTGTGTTCCCGTAGCGGGCGGCGAGGACTCCACCTTCCTCAGTTTCTCCAAGGGCGACCTGATCCTATTGGACGAGCACTGCGGCGAGCAGGTCATGACCTCGGGGTGGGCCCATGGGGTCAACGACAAGACCAAGCAGCAGGGGGACTTCCCGGCCGACTGCGTCTACGTCCTGCCCACCGTCACCCGGCCGCAGTATGACATCGTGGTGAGTGACCTCATGACTAGGGTTGCAAGTTCCAGGAACTTTTAGAAACTATGCTCATGGGTCATTTTGAAAATCTATGGAAACTTGGGGAATTTATACCACAATATGACATTGTAGTGATTATGACCTCAGGCATTGCCAAGCTCCATACGGTCTTTACAGTTCTCATTCTGTAGTTTCTCTTTTACTAAAGTTTTTTTTTGTCTGTCTGCATCTTTCTTTCCCTCTCCACCTCTCTCTTTCTTCTGCTCCCTCCCCTCTCCATCTCTCGTCCCTTTTTTCTCCATCTCACTCTTCCTCTCTTTTTTGCACCCTTCCATCCTCTCTCTCTCCCTCCTCTCTCTCTCTGCTAGGCTCTGGTGACTATGACTCCAGACCAGAGAAGAGAGTCCATCAACCTGTCCCAGATGGCCCTGGCTGAGAGTGAGGACAAGGTCAAGCCTTACACCCTAGAGGAGTTCTCCTACGACTACTTCAGGTAGTCACATGCACACTCACACTCTCACTCACTTCCTATTACACACTCACTATTCTCCTCCCCCCTCTAGACCCCCTCCTAAGAGCACTCTGATCAGGGTAATGATCCCTAAGGGCCGGGGGAAGGAGCGTCTGTGGTGTTGCACCAGGGAGCCCCTCAAACAGCCTCTGCTGAAGAAGGTGCTGGCCCATGAGGAGCTCTCCCAGGAGGCCCAACTGGCCTTCATTGATATCCTTACTGCCCTGCAGCCATTGTGTATCGAATACTTTTTATGCTTCATGTCCAAATCATCTTAAAGTAACTTTATTGAGCTACACAATCAATTTTAAACACTGGGATGATTTGACATAATTGACGTGCATTGTTTTTTGGACAAAAATGCTAAACAGTTAGCATTTGGAGACAGTGGCCAGGTAAACAAAACCAAAGCTGGATTGCTGTCTAACCTTGTCCATAGACTGCTTACTGGGTAAGGAAACCAATGTGTAATTTGGGTGAACTATCCCTTTAAATGTGACGCAAACCTCAACAGGTCATGGTATAATGTACATTATGTAGTAATGCATCATAGTTTTATGTCTGTGTTTAGCGTGTGTGGTATTGTGGTCAATGTTTGGTCATGGTCCTTGATCGCTCCCCTGCACCCCTGATGAAGTATATGGGTGACTACCCATCCAAGCGAGCGCGTTCGGTCAACGAGCTGACCGACCAGATCTTTGAGGGAGCGCTGAAGGCAGAGCCACTCAAAGACGAGATCTACTGTCAGATCCTCAAACAGCTCACCGAGAACCACATCAAGTATGTCTGACTCTGCAATCTACACACACAAGTTGTGGTCATATGGGGATTGACCATGGTGTGTATGTATGTGTGTGGCTGTGGTGTGTCTGCCTGCCTGCCTGCGTGCCTGTGTGTGTGGCTGTGCAGGTACAGTGAAGAGAAGGGCTGGGAGCTGCTGTGGCTCTGTACAGGTCTGTTCCCCCCCAGTAACATTCTGCTACCCCACGTCCAGAAGTTCCTCCAGGCTAAGAAGCACCACCCCCTCGCCCCTGACTGCATGCAGAGACTCCAGAAGGCCTTACGGTATATCTTACCCGCTTGTAAAGTATATTTACTTTAAGTGTTTCGACATGTACACACATTACAGGTTCAACCATTTAGGCAAAAGTTTTTTATTTATTTATTGAGTAAATAGAGGAGAAAAATGTTGACGTATTTAGGCAATAAGGGACAAATCCTAATTTGAGATCCATGCAAGATTTACGAAAAACATTTGAGTTGTGTGTGGATCTCAAGTAAGGATTTGTCTCCTAACTCGAGAGCCACTCAAGATCCATGCCTTCTTACTCATATTCCTTCCTTTGTCTTTCTCTTGTCTTCCTCTGGGTGAACAGTAATTGTAGCATGATGTACTACAGTACCCATAATGCTCTGTACACATAATGCTCTCTCCTTACTAATACAGTAATGGATCCAGGAAGTACCCGCCTCACCTGGTGGAGGTGGAAGCCATCCAGCACAAGACCACGCAGATCTTTCACAAAGTGTTCTTCCCCGATGACACAGACGAGGTGAGAGGTCAACCTCATCAATGTTGTTACAAAGTTGCAATGGCACAATGAGGCCCAAAACGTGAAGTCAACATTGAGACAATGTTGTGTGTTTGCTGGGTAACAGAGACAAATACAACACACATGCTGACTTATTCTAACCTGGAACGTATTGTGTGGTCACTTTCATTGCAAATTGTGTAAATTGTGTTTTTCTTTTTTTCAGGCTTTCGAGGTGGAGTCGAGCACTAAATCCAAAGAGTTCTCTCTGAACATCTCAGGCAGACTGCTCCTCAAGTCCTCTGAGGGCTTCAGCCTGTTTGTCAAGATCACTGACAAGGTACAATACTAGGATATGACCGATATTAAATCTGAAATCCACAGTGGTGAAACTGCCACGTCCGTTTGTGATATTACAACAACAAAGAAATTACTTCAAACAAAGAACAGTTTCTTTCCCTCGGACATCATTGAAGGTGTGATAGAACAGCAGAATATGTACTGCGACTTTTTTTTACCATGATGCTGGATGCTCCTCTCCTCCATTTCATCAACAAAACAAAAACAATAGCCAAGGCGCTGGGGTGAACAGTGCGGCTGTTTCCCCTTTTACTGCTAAGCCTCCCCAGCGAGAAAAACTGGTTGCAATGACATCATTAGGACATGTTTTTTTACTTTGCGGTCAGGGTGTATACTGGTTGTAAAATTATGTTTTTTTAAACATTACGTATTTACCTGGTTGTAATCTGCTTATATGACCAGATAACAACCAAAATATGACATCTTTCCCTGACTTCTTGATGAATCCTGTTTGTAAGCTGGTTGTAAACAAGAACCATTTACAACCAGAAATTACGTCATTATGACCCATGCAAAAGTTTGCCCTCTGGATCAGTACAAGATTGTGTTCTAATAACATACAAAAATACACCCAAATAATATATATAATTTCATAATATTTATCCAAATTATATACAAAATATTACAGTATGAGTCGCAGATCTTAATAATTCAAAACTGGGCTGTTTTGAAAGATGATATACTTCTCTATACCTCCACTAGGAGTTTACACCAATTTATGTTATTTTTGTAAGATTTCACTACTGTCGGAATGTGAGGGTGATTCAAATGATTCTAGATAAACTGTATCAATATTTGTGTTTGACCTTTGACCTTTGCTGGTTGTTTCCAGGTCATCAGTGTGCCTGAGGGGGATTTCTTCTTTGACTTTGTAAGGCATCTGACCGACTGGATCAAAAAAGCTAGACCCGCAAAGGACGGTAAAGACGTTAACTGTAAAGGACCCTAGATTCAGTAGAAAGGTTACCCATATGAAGATTATCCAAGATTAGATCTGTTCTTTATCACCTTTAATTCTCCAAGACAAAAATTAGCTTAATTCAACAAAACATTTTTTTGGGGGGGGCTTTTCTAAGAGAAACAACCATATCTAATCTTAGATCTTTGTCATTCTGATCAAAATATGAGTTCTCTAAAGTCTCTTAAAGAAGTCTCCTTTCAACTTTTCCATAGGCATCTGACATTTGCTAGGTCCACAAGAAAGAAAGTCAACCACCCTATTAATCCTAAGGATTCATTGATGATCCAACTTTCAGCACCCAGTGCGGCCTTCAGGGTTGGGCCACATAAACATTTCATCAAACATGGTGTGTCATGTCAACACGTTGTGGTTGTGGCAAGGGTTAATGATAGGTGAAGGTTAAGCTTGGGTTGGGGAACTTGCCATCTATGTAGATGTATTAATATGAGAAGTATGTCCTGAATCTCTCTCTATCGTCAATCTGCAGGTGTAGTGCCTTCACTGAGCTATCAGGTGTTCTTCATGAAGAAACTATGGACCAATACCATGCCAGGGAAAGACTCCATGGCCGACTCCATCTTTCACTACAACCAGGTGTGTGTGCGTGCGTGTGTGTGTGCAGAGTGCGAATTACGCCATGACATTCAGGTCTGTATTTTTATTGACCTTATAATAAAGACGTCATTAAAATGATAAAAATAAATGAATTATATATTTGAGATTCTTCAAATAGCCACCCTTTGCCTTGATGACAGCTTTGCACACGCTTGGCATTCTCTCAACCAGCTTCACCTGGAATGCTTTTCCAACAGTCTTGAATGGAGTTCCCACATATGCTGAGCACTTGTTGGCTGCTTTTCCTTCTCTCTGCCGTCCGACTCATCCCAAACCATCTCAATTGGGTTGAGGTCGGGGATTGTGGAGGCCAGGTCATCTGATGCAGCACTCCATCACTCTCCTTCTTGGTAAAATAGCCCTTACACAGCCTGGAGGTGTGTTGGGTCATTGTCCTGTTGAAAAACAAATGATAGTCCCACTAAGCCCAAACCAGATGGGATGGCGTATCGCTGCAGAATGCTGTGGTAGCCATGCTGGTTAAGTGTGCCTTGAATTCTAAATAAATCACAGACAGTGTCACCAGCAAAGCACCCCCACACCATAACACCTCCTCCTCCATGCTTTATGGTGGGAACTACACATGCGGAGATCATCCGTTCACCCACACCGCGTCTCACAAAGACACGGCGGTTGGAACCAAAAATCTCAAATTTGGACTCCAGACCAAAGGACAAATTTCCACCGGTCTAATGTCCATTGCTCGTGTTTCTTGGTCCAAGCAGGTCTCTTCTTATTATTAGTGTCCCTTTAGTAGTGGTTTCTTTGCAGCAATTCGACCATGAAGGCCTGATTCACACAGTCCCCTCTGAGCAGTTGATGTTGAGATGTGTCTGTTACTTTTGGGCTGCAATTTCTGAGGCAGGCAACTCTAATGAACTTATCCTCTGCAGCAGAGGTAACTCTGGGTCTTCCATTCCTGTGGCGGTCCTCATGAGAGCCAGTTTCATCATAGTGCTTGATGGTTTTTGCGATTGCACTTGAAGAAACTTTCAAAGTTCTTGACATTTTCCATATTGACTGACCTTCATGTCTTAAAGTAATGATGGACTGTCATTCCTCTTTGCTTATTTGAGCTGTTCTTGCCTTTTTTGGTTACTACATGATTCAATATGTGTTATTTAATAGTTTTGATGTCTTCACTATTATTCTACAATGTAAAAGGTTGTAAAAATAAAGAAAAATCCTTGAATGAGTAGGTGTGTCCAAACTTTTGACTGGTAGTGTATACTTAAGTATCAAAAGTATTAATTATTTCAAATTCCTTATATTAAGCAAACCAGACAGCACCATTTTCTTGTTTTTATTTTATTTACTGATTGTCAGGGTCACACTCCAACACTCAGACATCATTTACAAACGAAGCATGTGTGTTTAGTGAGTCTGCCAGATCAGAGGCAGTAGGGATGACCAGGGATGTTCTCTTGATAAGTGTGTGAATTGGACCATTTTCCTGTCCTGCTAAGCATTCAAAATGTAACGGGTAATTTTGGATGTCATGGAAAATGTATGGAGTAAAAAGTACATTATTTTCTTTAGGAATGTAGTGAAGTAAAAGTAGTTAAAAATATAAATAGTAAAGTCAAAAATATAAATAGTAAATTACATGCTTGTGTGTGCTTGACTGTCTGCATATTTGTCTTAAGTGTATTGACCCTCCTCACTGCTCTCTCTTCAGGAGCTTCCCAAGTATCTCCGTGGTTACCACAAGTGTTCCCGGGAAGAGGTTTTCAAGCTGGGAGCGCTGATCTACAGGGTGAAGTTCGAGGAGGACAAATCCCAGTTTCCCAACATTCCCAAGATGCTGAAGGAGCTGATCCCTCAGGACCAGATCAGACACCTCTCGCCTGACGACTGGAAACGGGTGAGTTGTAAAATCAGAATTCCTATAGGACTAGTTTATCTGGACCGCGTGACCTGACCGAGAAAAACTATAGGAGTGCTGATCTAGGATCAGTTTTGTATTTTAGGTTATAAAGAATAAGAGGGGGAACCTGAATGTAGATCCCATTCTTTGTGAAACCCTTACCGAAGAAACAGTCTTCTGGCAAACAGTTCTGGCAAATATTTGGCCAATTTGCCGCAAATCTGCAGCAAGCTCATATTTTCACATGCAAATTGCTTTTGTGGCAAACTTGTGAACTTCTGGCAAACAATTCTAGGAAACTTGTGGTGAACATTCTACTGATTATGAATATGGAAATTAGATCAGGTTTTTGGTTACTTTATGTATTAACAACATTGAAATGTTGTATCAACATCACATAATTTTAAATGAACGTGCTTCAAACAGAGAACTAAACTAAACATACTAAATGTTCAAAATACACTAAACAACATGTATTCCATTTCTTATCAGATAAAAATAAATCCAATACAACTTGAAATCATCAGCATGCTAAATAAATTGTTTATTTAATATTTTTATGTAGTTACAACATTTACATGAGAGAAATGTGAACACTATGGGGATGTTGACCTTAGGATGTTTAACTCGCAAGTGCGTTTTGGACTTCTAACCCCATTTAAACATTGTGTGTTTGAGCTAGAGTGGTGTTTGTGAGGGTGGATCCGGAAGGTGCCTGGGGACGGTTCTTCTCACAAAAACGTCTTTAAAGTCTGAATGGTTTGAGCTCATTTATGAAAAGCTGAGACTCTCACAAACATGTAATGCTGTCTCTATGATGCTCATAAGTCACACGAGTAGTTAGAATGTAAGGAGTTCTTCTACATAGACGATCATAGTGCCTATAATACTGTAATAACCTCACATAGTTGCTGTCACAAACTCCAAACTCTACACAGTTGTCACTAACTAGTTGGATATTAATTTCCCGCTGAGCAAACAATTTCTGTACTTACTGAATTCTTATAAATTCATTTTTATCAGGTTTTTGCTTGGCGGACCTTATGTTTTTGTGTTCTACTTGTAGCCCTGGTTGTCCTGAAAAGAAAATGTTAAAACACTTAATTGTGAGGCTAAATATAAGGACTGGACATGCAGATAAATGAAAGTAGTGAAAAGAAAATCAGATTTTTGCTGGGGTCTGGTGAACTGTTTGCCACTAGTGGCAATAAGTATTATTATTATGGCAGATTCACCACTAGTGACAAACATTTGCAACATTTCTGGCAACATTTATAGCTCCCAGACGAGCTTAACACATTTTATGCTCGTTTCGAGGCATACAATACCGAGCCATCCAGGAAGACTCTCGCTGCTCCGGACGTCCAGGTGCTTTCGCTCGCCAAGGCTGACTCTCAAAAGGGTGAATAGACACAAAGCCGCCGGCCTAGATGGCATCCCTGGCCGCGTCCTCAGAGTGTCTGCTGAGCAGCTGGTGGGCGTCTTCTCGGTCATCTTCAACCTGTCCCTGTTCCAGGCTGTAGTCCCCACCTGCTTCAAGGAGACCACCATCGTCCCAGTGCCCAAGAAAAACAAGGTGACATACCAAAATGAATATTGCCCCGTCTCACTCACCCCAGTCATCATGAAGTACTTCGATAGGCTGGCCTTGGCCCACATCAAGGCCAGCATGCCAGGCACACTGGACGCACTCCAATTTGCCTACCGCTCCAACAAATCCACAAAATATGCCTTTTCCATTGCTATTCACACGGCCAATAACACATCTGGACAAGAAGAACACCTATGTGAGAATTCTGTTCATTGACTACAGTTCAGCATTAAACAATATTGTTCCCTCCAAGCTCGACACCAAGCTCAGAGCCCTGGGTCTGGACAACACCCTCTGCAACTGGATCCTGGACTTCCTGACGGGCAGACCACAGGCTGTGAGGATTGGCAACAACACCTGCTCCACACTGACTCTTAACACAGGGACCCACCAGGGGTGTGTCCTCAGCCCTCTGCTGTACTTCCTGTTCACCCACAACTGCATCATCAAGTTTGCTGACGACACCATGGTTGTAGGCCTGATAACCAATAATGACGTGTCAGCCTGTACGGAGGAGGTAGGTGAACTTGCATTCTGGTGCCAGTACCGCAAGGCCCTCCAGTGGGTGGTGAAGACGGCCCAGTACATCACTGGGATAGTGCTCCCACCCATCCAGGACATCTACTCAAAACAGTGCCTGAGAAAGGCCCGCAGCATCATCAAGGAGCCCACACACCAGTATCAGAGCATGAGGTCTGATACCAACAGGCTCAGAGATAGTTTCTATCTTCAAGCCATCAGACTGCTGAACACTGAACTGGATTGACCACCTGCTCTGATTCTCCGCACCTTAGCACACATGCACTCACTCATGCACACACCCACCCATATATACATTCATGCTACACACACATCACAACTTCTGCTACCAGACTCGTATTATGATAGCTAAATACTGCACAATTTAAACACTTGCCCCCCAATTCTCCCTTCCCCAAAACACATGTAAATATTGGACTATAATTGTGCCTTCCTGTATCATACTTATGCTAAAATGTTTATTCTATTCTACTGAGCCATTTACTTTATGTTCATATTCTTATCTTGTATTATTTCTTATTGTTGAGAAGGAACCTGCATTTGGTTCAACAGTGTATATCATTTCTATCCTGTACATATGACTAATAAAATTTAAACTTGATTTTGTGGCACACTATTTAGTTTGCAGCAAATTTGCCGCAAACTTACGGGAAGTTTGCCGCAACAAATTCATTTTTGTAAGGGGTCCATGGATCCTAGTTATTGTGTCATCACAAATGTATAACGACATGCTAATTACATTGGCTGAGCAAGGATTTTGTGCTAATTTAGCAGAGGTACAGTAGTTCAGTGTACTACGCTTGCGTGATGAGTAACCTTGCCTGAGACCTGAAGACTTGCGCTAGCTCCTCAAATGAGTGTCTAAGCTTTAGGTCAGTTCACAGGCTTGTTGTGCATAAGAAACCAGGGTTTAAATCATATTTGGTCACACTCTCTGCTGCTTGATTTTCTGTCTCACAGTCTATAGTGGCGTTGTTCAACAAGCAGTCGGGGAAGACTCGAGAGGAGGCCAAGCTCTCATTCCTCAAAGTCATCTTCAAGTGGCCTACATTTGGCTCGGCCTTCTTTGAAGTCAAGGTAAAGATTTCTATAGGAATGCTGTATGGATTTCTGTATGAATTCATGTTATTGTGCAGAACTGGGGCAGAATGATAATTGTTTGTTGGGTTATTAGTGCATTAGAGTTACCGTGGCCATTTGAGTGCTGTTTGGTACTTTAGGAGGTTTTTGTTCCAATGTTCAAATAACTTTTCTTGATCAATGTTCAGAACACTCAACTCAATCTCAGGTCATGGACTATTATCATTGACCTGGTTAGAGAGTTGCTGTGAATTCCTTGCTACTTTCTTTTGATGTATTGTTGTTTTATTTATTTATTATCTCTGTCAGTCTATACATCTGCCTAATGTCTGCCTCAATCACAGTATTTATCTATATGATTAATAAAAAATAGTTCACAAACTCAATTTGTTCGTTATAGGTTTATAAGATACCAATTACAACTTAATGGATGTTCTCCTATTCAACAGCAAACCACTGATCCAAACTTCCCAGAGACCCTCTTGATAGCAATAAACAAACATGGTGTCAGCCTGATCGACCCCAAGTCAAAGGTGAGTGTGTGTGTGTCATGGAAGTTGTGTATGTGTGTGTGTGCTAAACAAGTATTTCTCCAATTCCCACCTGAACAGGACATCTTAACGACACACCCGTTCACTAAGATCTCCAACTGGAGCAGTGGAAACACCTACTTCCACATCACCATCGGCAACCTGGTCCGAGGCACCAAGCTGCTGTGTGAGACCTCACTGGTGAGCTACTGGACATTTCAACACTCACAATATGACATCACATGAGATGTCAATGGCTCTCAGGCAGTGTTGGTATACAGTATTTAGGGGTAGCCTATTTTAGAAAGATTCCTCACACTCTACACATACAGTGCATTTGGAAAGTATTCAGAACATGTTATGTTACACCCTTAGTCTAAAAATAAATAAAAAATCGCATCAATAATCATAATGACAAAGTGAAAAAGTGAAAAAGGTTTTTAGAATTTTTTGCAAATTTATTAAAAATCAAAACAGAAAACAGTATTCAGACCCTTTGCTGTGAGACTCGAAATTGAGCTCAGGTGCATCCTGTTTCTATTGATCATCCTTGAGATGTTTCTACAACTTGATTGGAGTCCACCTGTGGTAAATTCTATTGATTGGACATGATTTGGAAAGGCACACTCCTGTCTATATAAGGTCCCACAGTTGACAGTGCATGTCAGAGCAAAAACCAAGCCATGAGGTCGAAGGAATTCTCAGTAGAGCTCCGAGACATGATTGTGTTGTGGCACAGATCTGGGGAAGGATAACAAAAAATATCTGCAGCATTGAAGGTCCCCAAGAACACAGTGGCCTCCATCATTCTTAAATGGAAGAAGTTTGGAACCACCAAGACTCTTCCTAGAGCTGGCCGCCCAGCCAAACTGAGCAATTGGGGAGAAGGGCCTTGGTCAGGGAGGTGACCAAGAACCCGATGGTCACTCTGACAGAGCTCCAGAGTTCCTCTGTTGAAATGGGAGAACCTTCCAGAAGGACAACCATCTCTGCAGCACTCATAGCATTTATCGTAGAGTGGCCAGATGGAAGCAACTCCTCAGTAAAAGGCACATAACAGCCTGCTTGGAGATTGCCAAAAGGCACCTAAAGGACTCTGACCATGAGAAACAAGATTCTCTGGTCTGATGAAACCAAGATTGAACTCTTTGGCCTGAATGCCAAGCGGCACGTCTGGAGAAAATCTGGCACCATCCCTACAGTGAAGCATGGTGTCAGCGTCATGCTGTGTGGATGTTTTTCATCGGCAGGGACTGGGAGACTAGATCAAGGTCATGATCAAGGGAAAGATGAACGGAGCAAAGTACAGAGAGATCCTTGATGAAAACATGCTCCAGAGCACTCAGGACCTCAGACTGGGGCGAAGTTTCACCTTCCAACAGGACAACGAATCTAAGCACACAGCCAAGACAACGCAGGAGTGGCTTCGGGACAAGTCTCTGAATGTCCTTGAGTGGCCCAGCCAGAGCCCGGACTTGAACCCAATCGAACATCTCTGGAGAGACCTGAAAATAGCTGTGCAGCGACGCTCCCCATCCAACCTGACAGAGCTTGACAGGATCTGCAGAGAAGAATGAGAGAAACTCCCCAAATACAGGTGTGCCAAGCTTGTATCGTCATAACCAAAAAGACTCTAAGCTGTAAACGCTGCCAAAGGTGCTTCAACAAAGTACTGAGTAAAGGGTCTGAATACTTATGTAAATGTAATATTTCCATTTGTAAAACATTAGCAGCAATTTCTAAAAACCTGTTTTTGCTTTGTCATTATGGGGTATTGTGTGCAGATTGATGAGCATAAAAATTTTTGAATAAGGCTGTAACATAACAAAATGTGGAAAAAGTCAAGGAGTCTGAATACTTTCCGAATGCACTGTATAGACAGGTTAGCTGACAACGTCGTGAAACGATACGCACACCTCAAAGGGTTAGAAGGCTCTGTGTTGTTGGGGTTCTGGATGGCCAGATAGCTAACAACAATGACAAGAAACTGCCATCTGGTGGCTCGTTTTAGCTCGTTTGATTTTGTTCTTGATACAGTGTCTTGTTTTGAGAGCCGGCTTGGAGTGACAGTTGAGCAGGTTTTCACTTTTGGGACTATTCTGTTGGCTCCATTGCGCCAGGCAAGCTCAATCAAGTGCATGTAAAAGTATTTGACAGATACTACTATTTGAACACAGGTCTGATTCATAGGCTACCATGAAATATGGCAAAACATTAATGTACCTTTGAACTGGTTTGTCTTTGTGACCACAGGGCTACAAGATGGACGACCTCCTGACCTCTTACATCAGCCAGATGCTGACCACCATGACTAAACAGAGCGGTTCCCGTGGCAACATCAAGTGATCTGGAAAGTAATTGATCCCGCTGTTGAGTGTAGTAGGCCTCGAGGGCTATTACACTGTCTCATTAAAACATAGAACGATACATACAACCCTTCCTCCATAACATGCCAAATCAAAAACATGCACACACACACAGATGCACTTGACTGATTTTCTCCCAAAAATGTGGATCAAAGAGAGTGGGAAATGCAGGAGAATCTCTGGTCTTTGAGTCTATTCTACAGATACTTCTCATCTCAGAACTACAGGTACAACGTTGCTACAACGTCTGACTGCAATGTCTGAGACATTCGATGAATATAATGCATCTCCACCACTATTGTGTTAAAGAAATGTACATAGATCATTGGTTAAGGGGATGGAGGGACGATAGCGGCATTGCGACTAGAATTCTCTTTTTTTATTGTCAGTAGGAAATGTGACGATTTACATTTTTGATTGATGTTTTGGCCATGACCATAATTTGACTGATTGTCAGATGTTGGTTTATAGCTTGGATCCTGTCTTAACAATCACCGATTGCCTTTATTTGACCTATACCCAAATGCACAACCAACAAGTACAACTTGTTACATGGCAACTAATCAGGAGCTTTGTTTATAAAATGTTTTTACGCAAAAATGTTTTTGGTCCAATTTTGTGATTTATAAATATTGGGCCTAAACCTATACAACTAAGGCTTGTCCATACTGTATATCTCATGTGTAATCACTATTATATTTTGGTTTAGAGTTTAATTCAACATTATTCCTTATCATTATCACATGCAGGCTAAATAGTTTATTTCAATATCAATTCATACCCAATCAGTGTTATTAGTACATTTTATGAGTACAGTCAGATTTACCTCTAGACATTAGCTGGCTCTAGGACTTTGCTTACAGTGTGTATACCACATCACTGTAAAAACCTTTAGTGGAAAGTTGACAATATTTAATAATGTGATATTTCTAACGAGCACATATTTAGCTATTTGCCTAATGAATTAATAATTGAATCAAATGTATTCTGTAAATAAATTGTTTCATATGACTTGGCTTTTTAAAATTGTGGATCAATCAATGAATTTTAAGTTTAAAGGTGAACTCCGTTAAATTACAAAATACAGTATCATCTACGTACAGAAATCAACAACAAATGTGTCAAGACTGCCATTATTGGCTCTTAAAGGTGCCTGTTTTGGCATATTAAAGTTAAGTTATTGTTGATGTCTGTAAGCAGGATATCACCCCCACAGGCATCGCACACATCCCCACGAGCTAAAAAATAAGAATATTATTGTATAAGCCATGAAAATCTTTTTTTGAATTACAGGAAATTATACTGAACAAAGATATAAATGCAACATGCAACAATTTAAAAGATTTTGCTGAGTTACAGTTCATACTGAAAAAGGAAATAAGTGAATTGAAATAAATAAATTAGGCCCTAATCTATGGATTTCACATGACTGGGCAGGGGTGCATCCATAGGTGGGCCTGGGAGGGCTAGGCACACCCACTTGGCAGCCAGGCCCACCCACTGGGGAGCCACGCTCAGCCAATCAGAATGAGTTTTTCCCACAAAAAGGCTTTATTACAGACAGAAATACTCCTTAAAATCTGAGAGAAATAAGCTTTTTGTGTGAGTGGAATATATCTGGGATTTTTTTTTATTTCAACTCATGAAACATGGGACCAACACTTTTTATGTTGCATTGATATTTTTGTTCAATGTAGCTTTAAAATTGCAAATATCTTTCTCAGCCTCATGGCAAAATGTGTAAAATAGCAGGAAATTAGCTCAGGGATTCTTGACAGTTGGGACAATCCTTGTCCGGCAGGGAAACTTTATTTTTATAGTTGAAAAAATTGATTTTGTTGCATTATTTTAGCCAAAAATTGACATTTAGGGGGATTTTCTCAGGAAAATATTTGTTTTGGAATTTTCTAAATACTTTCAATACTATTCATTTCCATGTCGGCTCTATGCCTGGAAATGCCCTTGTCCGGCGCAAAGGATCCCAATTTCAAACACTCCCAAAAAGTATTTAAAATTCTAAAAACAGGCAATAATGGATAATGATCTTATGTAGTTTATTGCAATAGTCCTCTGCAATAGTCAACCATGTGGTGTGCATTTTTGTGTTTGAAAAGGTGCGGCGTTAAGTGAGTGAGAGGGGAAATGGTTGCATATCCCAGAGCCGACCGGGGGTCTATGAGCAGGGGTAGTGAGAGAGAGCTTTCAATTTTGTGTAGATGAGGGATATACATTTTTAAATATAGTATACATCTAATCTAATTTTTCATTGTCCTATCATGATGGAAAGATCCCTAACCCTATAACCTGGACACCCACCTGAGCGACCCATACACCAAAGAGAAGTTCCCATCTCTTTTATGGACCTGCTGTGAATAAGCAGCCTAAACAGAGAAATAAATGCAGTCAGAGACCTACTTGAGCAGCACCGCCCCCTCAAGATTCTGAGCCTGCCTGGCAGGGTTGGTCCTACAAAGCCAGAGCCCCCTGATGGGAGAGCATAATATACAAGGAAATTCTCAAAGCTGCTAATGAGAACCTTGACGACCTTTTACCTAGCCGGTGGGGATTCCGGTGGGGTACGCCCACCCAGGTAGTGGCAGTGCTGGCAACACTGGCTGCAGTAACCCATGGGGAGGGGGTCACACTCGGACAATCAGAGAGGGGGTTTATCATTGTGGCCCAGGTGGCACAAAATAATCAAAGGTCTGACCGCATGGAGATGCTTGGGAAAATGGTTACAACAGGGGATCAGAGTGTTTGTGTCTCAGGTGAAGAGGGTGGATCTGATCTCCATCACCTAGGACTTGACATAGATTAAGTAGATTAATCAAATCTCACATTGTTATCAATTTCTGCTCAATCTGCATGCTTTCTCAATCAGCTTTAACTGTATGTGCACTCGTAAATCAAGTTATTTCTCGAGTTGGGCTCTGGGATATAACAGCCGTTGAGTATCTGATTTTATGGTGGATTGTGGAGGAGGGGGGTTGAGTGTGTTGGAGTATGTGAGTATGTGTGTGTGTGCTTGTCTGGCATCTGTTGTGGGGGGGTGGGGATGTTGGGGGGGAGGGTATGGGATGGACCACGGGAATTATTTGCCAGGATAATAATTGCTTGTCAATGAATTAAATGTAATACAATGGCAATCCGGGTTATATGTTAGAATCCTACGCGTGAACTGCCGACATTATTACGCATATTAATTGATAATGATGGAAAATAGGATATGCATAATTTAAAAAAAATAGTTATATAGATATATATAGAGAGAGAGGTGAAAGCATTGGAAATGCTTTTGGCGGTTAATCTGCTTCTGTTTTGTGGGTGGCACTGTGTGCTGTTTCCGATGGATGGGTCCTGGCCTCTTGGGGCCTTAGGGATACGGAGGGACGTGGGAGGGATACGGAGGGACGTGGATAGGATGCTGATCACTGGGATGACGGCTCAACTTGGGATGGGGAGGGGCTTTAGCGGGGGAATTAGTGGAGAACAATTGAAGAGTTACTCCGTAGCAATGCAAATATCACGGTACAGCTATATGGACACTCAATCATTACGCTATTTTTTATTGGTAAATTTACAAACATATATAATGATAAATAGACTTGAAACTTGTATCTCATTATGGTGTATGGTGAAATAAGTATAGCCAGTTATAATTGTAATGGCTTAGCTGATAATAACAAAAGAAGAATAATATTTACATGGCTCAAAGAGAAGGAATATAATATCTATTGTATACAGGAAACTCATTCAACAATTCGAGATGAAGTAGCGTGGAAAAAAGAATGGGGGGGGGGGGGGGATATACTTCTCCCATGGGCAAAGAAATTCAAAAGGGGTGATGATATTAATTAATAGTCATTTCGATCCGAATGTGCAAATTGTCCAAATAGATACGCAAGGTAGATGGATTATTTTAAATATGTTATTGGACCATAAACAGATATGGCTCATTAACCTTTACGGACCAAATAATGATGATCCACAATTCTTTGACAATATATAGAATAAATTATCAAGCCTGCAAGCAACTCAAGACAATATTATTATGGTGGGGGATTATAATACTGTTTTAAATAGCTCAATGGACTGTAAAGGATATCACACCACAAACAATCACCCACATGCTCTTAAGGAAATTGTGAATGTCATGGATACATTAGAACCCCCCCCCCCCCCAAAAAAAAATAATAAAAAGTATAATTGTAAAGTGGTTATCCCACTGGCTATAGGGTGAATGCACCAATTTGTAGTCGCTCTGGATAAGAGTGTCTGCTAAATGACGTAAATGTGCCCTTGAGCAAGGCACTTAACCCTAATTGCTCCTGTAAGTCGCTCTGGATAAGAGCGTCTGCTAAATGACTAAAATGTAAATGTAAAATGTAAACTAGTAGATATATGGAGGCTTAAATATACTGATCTAGTGAGATATACATGGCGGAGATTGAATCAAGCTAGTCGTCTTGACTTCTTTCTTATCTCATTCTCGTTGGCACCAAAAGTAAAAAAAAGTGTTGATAGGGGACAGAATGCGGTCGGACCATCATATAATAGGCATATACATTACTCTTACTGAATTTCCACGTGGGCTAGGATATTGGAAATTTAATCAAAGCCTATTGGATGATAATTTATTTATAATTAGAACAAAGGAATTTATAACTGACTTTTTCCAACATAACATAGGTACAGTGAATCCCCTTATTGTATTGGACACCTTTAAATGTGCCTTTAGAGGCCATGCAATTCAGTACTCATCTCGAAAACAAAAGCAATTTAGGTCAAAAGAGTTTATACTAAGAAAGGAAATAGAAAGTCTAACAGAACAGATAGATGGCAATAAAAACTGTAACAGAGGCTCAGAATAAATTAGAGGAAAAACAAAAAGAAATGGAGAAACTTATTCAAGAAAGATCAAGTGTAATATATTATAAAAATAAAGCAAACTGGATGGAATATGGGGAAAAGTGCACACAA